CAGGGATGGGGCATCCACAGCCTCCTTGGGCAACCTGTTCCAGTGCATCACCACCCTCTGAGTGAAAAACTTCCTCCTGATATCTAACCTAAACCTCCTCTGTCTCAGTTTAAAACCATTCCCCCTTGTCTTATCACTATCCACCCTCTTAAACAGCCGTTCCCCAAATATAAGGCCATGGGGTTGAAGACATGTAGAGTGTTATTGGTAAAGTTAGTCCTCTTGAGAGCAAAAGGTTATTTCAAATCTGCAGTGAATTTACTGGTAACTTTATCTCTTTTTGAGTGTTGAGCTTTTTCCTTGTAAGTGCTCTTTGAAGTAAAAGTTGCAGTAGTGGTGCAAAACTTGACTTCGTCATTTTTATCAATACAATTTCTAGATCTGTATATATATGTATGAGTACACATACTTTTTCTAGAAGCCAAATTATCTTAGTTTCAGTATGTCAGAAAATCCAAATTTATGGCAAGTCCTGTACGGTTACAGTCTGAGAAATGTCCTCATCATCTGTCCTTTATTCTCAGTGAAAAAGCCCCTTATTTTTCTGAACAGAACAGTAATGTTGTCACAACAATGGGCCATTTTTCTTTCTATACTGACATTCTTTATTCCTTCTGATATTTCAGGATTTGTACTGTTTCCCTTTGGCTTTTCAGACTGTACATCCTCTCTGCTTCCCTATACCTTCTGCATTAAACATGCTTTTTATTCCCACTACCTCAATTTCATTACTTTACAATATACTGAAGAATCTGGCTTTAGTAATTTTCTCTCCCCAAACCAGCAATGACTTCTTCCTGGCTACCTGACAAGGGTGAAAATTTTCAAAGCAACTTAATCTTCTAAATTAAATCTGCTTATTTTCAAGCCTTTTGTCTGTCTTTCTTCATTCTTCTTGATTTGTTTGCTGCTTTGTCAGCATGTGAACCATTAGCACTGTACTTCCCCCAAGATTTAAGAATTTTTTTTTATTATTCTGTTCTTCCAGTGATCTTCCAGTGGTTTCTGTGGTACTTCCTTTGCCATTATATTATACAATTTCTTCTTTTCTCTGATTATATAATATATATATATAATATTAAAAAAATAATATAGGAATGATCTATAAATAATAATATTTGGGGCAGTGAATATTAATCATGAAAAAAAAAGGTATATGTAATAAAAGAAAGGATGCAGACAACAGGAGTATGAATATGGCTGCATGCAATAAGATGAGATTACCAAGTTTACATGGTCACAAATTAACTTTAAAGACAATTATAACCATTTTAATTTTGATTATGCCTGCATGCAGGTTTAACTGTCTTTAATTCTGTGGAATAAATGCACTCCAAACATCCTATTGAGGTTAATTTATCATAGAGTTCCATGAGCATTTATAAGAAAGCGTGTCTTCTGTGTAAATGCAAACAAGATGATCTAGGAAATCACTCTGAGTTTAGGACAAGCAAGATACTGAGTCTCTGTAAAGCACATAAAACTACTGAATCAGAGTACTATAACAGCAATAGCAGTTGTTCATGAAAGGAGTTTGAGAAGCAGGGCACATACAGTGATTCTTCCTCTTGCATAACCTCATAACACTTAGTAATTTTTGGACTTTATGGACTTCCTAAGTTGAAGGATGGGAGATATTGTGTTTTCCAGTACATGACACATCTATTCTTGATGAAATTGTTAGATACCTTTTTAGACACACCTCAGTCTCCTACACAGCCTTTGGAAATACTGTTCAAGTTTTAGTGACGAGTTACAAAAAAGAACCCAACAACCACCACTTTTTGTTTGATAATCATTTCCTTGATTCCCTGAGTTCTCATAGTATGTAAATTATGAGAGCTGCTCTGAAAGTAATGCCTCCTGTTTTATTATTGGCCCTGACAACTGAGGCAGATGTTGGTGGTAGGGCAGTAGAAGCTGCACCTTCCCACCAGTATCTTGTTCCATTCTGTTGCTGTGTGACAGGTAGCAGCAGAGAGGCAGTCTGACAGAATGGTGTCTGACATGGAAGTACACACGAAGCAAAGGTGTGTCTCTGAATTCCTCCATGTGAAAAAAAAAAAAAAATGACACACACTGACGTTCATCGGCCCTCAGTCAACATTTATGGAAACTGAACAGTGGATGTGAGCAGAGTGAGGTGGTGCATGGTGCATTTCAGCAGTGGCAACAGGACAGTGGTCACCTCCACTGGTGCGGATTGTTAGGAGCACGAGATGTAGACTCTTGTTCATTGCTGGAGTGAATGCATAGATTCTGGTGGTGACTGTGATGAAAAACCGTTTTGTAGATGAGAATTTGCTCTATCAAACATGTTTTTGAGCTCTTTATTGTAGTTCCCACAGAAGAAAATAAGAGGCATTACTTTCAGAGCAATATTTGTACCTGATAAATAATAAATAATAAATAATGAGAGCACATTGTGGCTTCTGTCTCTCTCTCTGCCACCCAGTCTTGCCAATATTTTAGCATATAATGCATTTTGTCTTCTTTCATGTATCATATTCTTTCTTGAGGTTTGTTGCTAGAAACATGTAAAGAGAAGATATAGATTAATCATCATGCAATATTTACATTTACGTACCTTACAACTTTATTTTTACAGCACTGATCATTCATGTGACCATCAGTATATAATTTAACTCTTTGGATCTTGAAGTACTCGGAGTGGACAATTAATAAGAACTTGGGATGTAGGAATTTCTGTTGTCTGTATGCATTAGTTAGTGATGTTTGGTGCCATAATTTTGTTGCCAGGACATTTGTGTGCCCACCAGACTCCTTTATAGTTGTTTCTACAGGCTGTTGTCCTCTGTCATATTTACCAGCCCTCTGCTGATGCTGTGGATTACCAAAGGGCATCTTGGTATGGGTAACCATCAGGGATAGGGAAGTGATTATCCCTCTCTACTCTGCCCTCATGAGGCCTCGTTTTGAGTACTGTGTCCAGGTCCTTGAGGTCCCATCCAACACAGGCCATTCTATGATTCTATGATTCTCTGATCTCAGCTGGCAGCAGATAATTCTTTGTGAGAAACTGAACTGAGGTCTTGATTTTGGGAGAGGAGAGTGGAATACCTAGGGGATTTCCACAATTGATACTGTTAAAGACTAGAGCAGTATAAATAGATGTTACTTGAAAATATCAAGATTTTCAGTAGTCTTCAGTGCAGTTGTTGCTGCTTAATGGCATTCTGCAACATCTGGTTACACGGTTGAACTAGGAATGAGAACAGATTTGAAACACAGCATTTTGGGTGGGCTTTTTCCTTGCTTAATCTGTATATAATGTCATGCTAGATAATAAGAAATAATCTGATGGCTGAATTTGTGCAAATAAGATTTCTGAGTCTGCTGAAACCTGGAAATTCCTGAAGAATGCTGATTGTTGTTGGAGCCAGGGTTATATTATGATTTAATGGCTTTTCTGGGCTTCATTTGATGACCTGGCCTAGAAAAACATTTTGAAGTAATAAAGCGTCTGTTTGGCTCCAAACTAATGAGAGAAGCATTGCTCTTTGCATTAACTGTTCTTTAGGAAGAGTCACAGATAGCTACTAATAAACCTTATTAAAAAGCTTAGGCAAGATTGAAGGAAATAGAAAACAGAGAAACTATTCCCTTCCATTTGAAGTATATACGTTTAAAAAAAAAAAAAAAGAGGAAAAGAAAGCAAACCCAAAGGGTTTTGCCTCTCTTCCATGTGACTTGCAGCTTGCTGCACTTCAGTTGCATTGCCTCTGAGATACGTTAAGTGCAGCTCAGTTTAATGAAGAAGTGGATAGGACAAATCAAGGCTAGAGACTATTTGCAGCAGAGACTGGGTAAGTAAATGCAGATGTAGGTGAGTGCTTGCTAATGTTCTGCAAATGCTATTATCCATAGCCTGTAGCATTTCAAGCAGTGCTGAGGGATGGCATTTTTTGGTGGTCCTTTCTTTGTTTTATTTAGGTAATTTGCAAGTGTGAGTTGTAGGTGCTGTGCAGTGGATTTAGGTGTGAGTGATAGAGATTGCACTTAATTTTTTCAGGCATCCTACAAAAAAAAAAAAAAAAAAAAAAAGCCAACTACAAATAACTTCCCTCTGATTTTGTGTACCTGTTTTGTTTTAATTTTTTTTTGCTGTGAAAGTAACTGTTTCATCTATTTTTGTGCAATGCTCAAAATAATTTCAGTGGGAGTTAGCTGATGATAGTTTCTGATGCCTTGCTGGTATTTTAATTATTTTCCTACTGGTGAGGGAAAGGGAGAAACAGCTTCTGCTCTGAATAAACCTCCTAGATAGAGCATTTTCAGAATTCTAGTATCTAAAGCCAGACCACTGAAATCTCTTCAGCATCAACTCGCTCCAGGAATTCATTCGACTGCTCCAGTAGGATTGTAGGATTTGATTTCAGATGTTTGCATTTGTTCTCTGTGTCTCTCTATAAAGATTTGTATGTGTTCCTAGACTTTATATATAAAGTTCTGGTTTAACTGTTCGTATGTGTAAAACTGTGTAAGTTTATTGTCAATATATGATGTTGGGAAGTACAAGGAAAGCTTTTATTGTTGTTAAGACTTCTGGGATTTTGTTTTTTAAGTATGTGTTTATTTGTTTGGTGTCCTGTAATTTGACTGGACCTTGCAGTTTCTGTAACTAGGATTGCAATCTTAATCAATTACTGATTTCTAGAACAGTTCTTTTATTGTTTTCAGTGCCTTCTGTTTGAGTACTTAAGCCTCAGTGCACAAAGAGCTGAGAAGGAGGCACGATCAATAGACATTGTAAAAGCCTATATTGAAGCCTGATTAGAATCTTAGGATCTGCAGAAGGAAAACCAAACTCTTTTGTGATTGGTAGTGTAGTAACGAAAATATTACTGTTAAGTGCTGAACATCTTGTGGTCTAGGGTGTGTCTTCCTTTTGCATCATCTCATGGAAAATGTTGCATTAGGTACTGTATTCTGTCATGGGTTTTGCCATCTGGAATCACCAGAATGTGAATCTTTTTCAGATAATCACTCCGTTTAGGAGGCTGATACTGTGTGCTGAGAACAGAAAAGAAATGGAGGACTGGATAAGCTCTCTGAAGTCCGTACAGTCCCGGGAACACTATGAGGTAAGTTGAGCTCTCTGTTGGTGCTACCTGCTCCAGCTGAACAGATCAAGCATCAGGACACAGAGCTAGGATAGCTTACCTTTCTTAGTGTGAAAAAGTCTACGTAATGTCAGGATAAAGCTTCACATTCAGAGCTTGCTACGGGATTCTTGTGATACTTTTGTTTAGAAGTTCGGAGGTAGAGCGAGCTAAGTATCCTTGTGAAAATACTTGTCACTAACATTGCACTGTCCCCTTAATGTGGAACGGTAGGTAATTTCAGTCACCGTAGCTGTGTTCTGTACTTGCAAATTTGTCTTAACTTCTCCTTTACTAGACGGCACAGTTTAATGTGGAACATTTCTCAGGGATGCATAACTGGTACGCCTGCTCCCATGCCCGACCCACCTTCTGCAATGTGTGCAGAGAGAGCCTCTCTGGAGTCACTTCTCATGGCCTGTCCTGCGAAGGTAAAATGAATTTCTTCCCTGCTTTTAAAATGTTGTGTACGTATCTAAATTACCGACAGCTTAAGACAAATAGTGGTTCTGAAAATAATGAGTTAGCAAAAAGCCCGAAGGGAGAAATCTGTTCTCTAGAGTGGCTTTCTCTTGGGAGAGTGGCTACTAATGATGTGGCTCACCCTCTTTGTGCTCCAGGTGCCTTTTTCTAACTCATTTCAATAAAATATTTCCTTCTGCTGCAGCTACCAGTTTGGAATGTGCTTGCCTGGGTGGATGGTTTGCAAGGAAAGATAGGATTTCTTTGATTTGCACTTGAAAAATGCAGATGTGTAGCAAAATAGTCTTACTGGTGTGCAGAATCAGCATTCCTCAGGAAAAAAGAAAAAAGTCAGAATGGTACTTTCTGCCCCACGTCATTAACAATTATTAACGCTTTGTTCTGCACTGAGGAGAGATTTATTGCTTTAAAAATTCTGTCATGCAGTGAGGGGGTAGGGATATTAAATGCCTTTGCAGTTTACGGTTAAACAAATCCAGTAGAAACAACAAGGAGGTGTGACTAAAACTTCAGATTTAAGCTGATCTGGAGAAATGATCTTTTGCAAACAAGTGTTTGTAATAAACCTGAAAAAGCTTATGTATTTCCTGCTGCGAGTACTCTGAAAAAGCTGTGGTAAGTCTGCTAGTGTTAAAGTACAGGAGAAAAGAAGGCATAAATGCGACCTTATGCTGCATATGAAATGTAGAGGCAAGTTTTAATGTCACTTTCTTGCTATGCATGAAATACTTAACTACAAATAGCTAACTATTCAGAAAGGAGTAACTGTTATTGCTGCATTCAAGACTTCATTTTGGATGCATGTCAGCATACTGCAAATACATTTCTTTTATCAGTGCTGTTATAATACCAATGCATATGATTATGTGCATTAATACTATCAAATACCTTTAGGTAAGTAATGGTGCAGTTATCAAGGAACTGTACAGACTCATTTCACAGAAATTAGAAGTAGCATAGCTACATCCAGCTTCTCTGGTATATGTTTTCTGCTGTGTGTAAGTCATTTGGACAATTTTAAAGCAAGTATGGTATTTCCCATGTCTGATACTGGCAGATGGAAGTATCATATGCTTAGCTAAAATGCAGTTGTATTGCCTCTATGTGCAAGTACTATATTTAATCAGGAAAAGGAAAAGAAAGGCTCCTTTCCCTTCATAATGTATTTATCCTTTTGTAAGTTAATATTATAGCTATTTTAGAAGGTTGATTAGTGGGAGTTATAAGATCATCGATATTAATGGTTATAGCTCATCATTTCTAAATGTTTTCAGAGTGTGGTTTTAGTGCTTCTAAGTATGGTTCTTATTTCCAAGGAGTTGATGTTAATTTGAAGGAAATTTCCAGATTTGGACTTTGTCAACTGTCTGCATAAGTTATTACAAACTATTATGACATTTATTCATTTTTCTGGTGCCAATTGATCTTTCACCAATTTTTACCAATGACTCTTAATGATAGACTGGATTGGCTTCTCCTTTGCCCTCAGTTTCATAAACATTTATGGCCTGGATTGGTTTAATCACAGTAGATACTGTGATACTCATCTATCTGTTAAGAAGTTTACCTCCACTTTCTTCTTAGCTACCAGTTAGTATCTATTTTATCTTTCCCCCCCCCCCCAGTATTTTTAAAAATAAAAGAAGTACCTTAATTATCCATCTAATCTAAATCAGTCGATGGTTGGCTTTTGTCTTGGAATACTCTTACTTCTCACCCAGTTCCATACCTGTTCATGTAAAAAGGTACTTTGGTTTGATGCTAGTTCTTCCTCTGAAACTGTTAGGTGACTTGAGTTCATATTTACTTGCTTCTGTCATGTGCACTTCTGATGCAGTTGACCATCTTTTGACCATCAGTTGACCATTTTTTACTTATCTAGTGCTAGCAATATATATTGTTTGAAAAGATGATGTAGTAGGTATTGAGATTTAATATTCCCCTGACATGTTCTGTTCTACTTTTTCTCATTGCATCTTTGAAATAAACCTGTTTAAATATTCATGCCTGACGTCTGAAGCCTCCAATGCTGCTTTACTCTGGGAATCCATTTATATCTATACTAAATTCAATTATATGTGTGGTCATTGATCCCGAGCTTCTCTATTATCTCATGTGTTGAAAAGCATAAGAGGCTTCTTGAGAGATACTGAAACTCTTCCTCCTTTCAGTGGTTTGGGTTACTGGCACACCAAGCTGTCTTGAAAATAGCTTGGAGGCTTTGTACTCTTTTGTACTCTGCCTCTTGACTTCTAGCTACTGGTAAAAATAAAAACCAGTTTCATTCTAATGCTTTGCAGTTTATGATACTTTGGAAGATTAGTCCTCTAATATTTTATTCTCTTAGATCTGCTGGTCTCCAGCAGCACTACCTAAATGTTTTTTTCAGACCTGACTGCACAAGCCTCATTTCTTTTGGAAATAAGGTGGGTGCCTTCTTTTTTCAGCACCTCTTTCCTTCCAGCATCCTCTGGCAAAAGTTGACCAAATTAATTGCAGGCCACTCTGAGGACACCCCTGTAAGTTTGGTGTAAGCCAGTGTTGGGAAGCAGAGTGCCTTTAGTGGGGGGACTGAAGATAGTGTGAACTTACGTCTCTTCAGAAGTCAAAGAATTGATACTTTTGTCAAACTGAGATGTAAATTCATATCAAACTATCAAACTAGGCTACATTCCTTTAACTGCTAAAAAAAAAATCAATTTAGTTTTATTTGTCCACAGTTGTACAGTGCTGTTACTCCCACCAGTTTCTTTTTCTATGTCTTCTCAAAACAAAAAGGAATTTTAAAGTGTTGTCTGTGTGTGATGTTGATGAACAAAGATTTTCCTCTAGCTATCTAAAGGAGTGATCTTCTTCTACGTTCATTCACAGTCTTTACTAGGACAAGGAGATTAAATATTTGCTTTCAAAATTGTCTCAAACAAGCTGAATCAAGTAAGGCTTTTGTTCTTTATGCTCCACAAATGTTTCTGTTATTGAGAGCTTAGCTTGCTTGTAGACTCAGGAGTTTAAGAGGTTGTCAGGTAAAGTTAGGAATATATGTAATACTTTGGCCTATAGGTCTAGATCACTATCTACAGAAACTCTTTCAAAGCTCTTAAGCCACAATTACTCTATATTAACACCATTTTTCTGTCCAAGTCCTTGACAGTGAAATGCATTTTTTTAATATGCATTTTCTTTGTAGTGTTTTTGTTGTCGTGACTGAATCTTGATTGCAGAATATACATAATAAGCTGAAGATTACAGTTTAAATGAGATGCTTTCTACTATGATGAATTGCACAGGCAAAACAACGTTGAAAGAACACTTTAGGATCATGATTCAAGCAATAAGAAAACACAGGGATTATATTATCTCAGTAATTGCACTTCGTGCACTTGGTCTTTTTTTGTTGATTGCTTTTTTTCCCCACAGAACTCTTTTCTTCTTACCCACTGCAGGGGCCATTGCATATATGCTAGTTGGATGTTCATCATTTCCAGGATTTTTGCCACGTTTTCTAAAGACTGTAAAGTGAATAGTGAGTGAAGCTACCCAGAAGAGAAAGGACATTCATAAAGAATTAAGCTATAATAAAAAACTTTTATTCTGTATTCTGTGCCTTTGTATCACACTTTATCTCTCTGTAATCCTGGTGAAATCACTTAAATGATATTTTGGACCAAATCAGTAGCTACATGTTTTTTATTTTCTGGACACCTCCGTTGATAATCCACAACCTATATCACAGCAGTGTTGAATGTTGAATAACTGCAGAAATCAATTGAAGCTGTGTTTTGAAGACGTGTATACAAGATAGATAAAACTGAAAAAGCAGGTCTTAATTTCCTTCTTGATAAGCAAAATTAGTGAACAGCATTGTCCTTAAACTCTGCAGGCTTCACTTATTCCTTTATTTAAATGGGTACAAAACCAATCCCATATTTTGGCAGTACACTGAGAAAATAAAGGTGCACTTTTCAGCATTCAAAAAATGTAGTACTAAACATAATAATTAAACAGAAAGGCTAGAAAGCAATGAATGTTTATGTCTAAAAACAGTGTTTAATTAGCTTTTGTTAAATAAGACAAATACCTGTTGAAGGCTGCTATGAACAAGGGTATGGTACAGCTGCATACTTGACAAGAATTATCCATTTGGTGAAGTAAATGAAGGTCCTCTTCTCAAAAAGAGTATAATCATGTAACCGAAGACTTCACACCTGCATATGGAAGCTAAATTAAAGTTGCATGACTAACTGAATGTTGTGGTCCTTGGCTTTTTAATATGAATATTCTTTTAGTGCTGTCTTTGTAAAATAAATTAATTTAGTTACTGGAATGAAAATAGTGAAAGCTATCAAGAACCTATTGAATGTTGTCCTTTATAACATAAGCATAGTCTGCAGCTGGGAGTGAAGTTAGGTTGCTGTTCTCACGTAAGTCTCTCCACTTTCACTGAGGTTTTTCAGTCCTCCATGTGATCGTAGTTTTGGAAACAAAACATCAGGTTTCATGGACTGCTCCAAGATAAATCCTTCCATCTCAACAGTGTACCAACGTACAGATACCAGCTCAGGGTTCTTCAGGTCAATTTCAAGACTTGAGCTTTAGCTTTTGAAGCTGGAAAAGTACAGTCAGAGCTTCTTGGTTTTTGAAGAATACAGATTAGAAAACTCATCATAAAATTGGTGGCAGAGTGGTAACTTTGGCAGGACACTCAATGCCTTTTCCCCGATGTAACTGATGGGTGGACAGAATGGAAGGCCTTTGAGACAGAAGTGTTTGTTTTATAGCAAAGAACTCTATTTGGAATGCAAGAGATTCTATGATGACATTCAGTAATGTTGACTTTTCTTCATTATAGATAATAATAGCTGCAGATTTAATCACTGTCTGACAGCAGATGTTGGTGCAACTGTGACAACTGTTCGCTAATTAAGTGGTTCTCTCGGTTGGTTTTCAGAGAGATCGGCTTCATGTTCCAGCTAGAAATATTTACACAGGAAATTAAAATGTGAAATGGTGTTCTACAAATAGTCTTTATTTTGATGGGCTATTTTTCTCCTTTTCTCATCATTTAAATTTCAGTGGCAAAGTAATGGCAATTGATGCTTAGCAACATGCCTGCATGTTTCCAGAAGATTTCAGATATCAGCTTATTCCATGAATGTAATCCAGTATCTCCTGAGATAAAAGAAATTTGAGGGTAGTGGTTGAGATTTGATTTGAATTGTCCCTTCTTATTCTGCACAGTGATGTGTTTTTCTTGAAATTTCCATCCATGCCTTAAGATCACTGTTTCTAGAAATGTTCGTTTATTGCTCAAAATCACATGAATTGTTTGATGATATTGGGGCTGCAGTGGGGTGATTTGCAGAAAATCTGGTCTCAGATTTGAATTACACTGTGCCCACAAATCAAACTTCAGTTGTAGCTTGCTGGAATATTTTCCATGGTGTGGCTTTCTGCAACTCTTCAGATTCTTGGTGTGAATTTGTTCCTGCTTGTTTGGGAGAGCAAAGGGTGAATACAGGGCCCTGAGATCTAGGTGGTAGATGAATAGGGCTTCAAAATTGTTATTTTCCTATGCCTTAGTCTTTTGGAATTTCCTCCTGCCCCTCATCCCTGCTGTGTTGTACCCTGATCTGCACAGCAAAGACAAATATGTGTCGTTTGTGAGTTAGAAGCTGAATTTGATTGCGCATCTTCTCCAAAATATTCAAGAGGCAAAACTGCTAAGGCCCAACACGTTGGAAATGCAGCCTTTGTTTCTGCACTTCTCTGACAGCTGAGATTTGAGGCAAGTGGAACCAGCTTGCATTGGCAAACACACAATATGATGCTGAGCTATTCTGAAAATTGCAAGCCTATCCTGTTGGTTGGGAGCTATGAATGCTGCTTTTTGAAATGGCCTGGGGAGCTGCTGTAAAGCAACAAAACTTCTTCTGTTTCCATTTCTTTCTTTGATCTAAACACATACTGTCACATGTCTCCCAGCATAGGGATGATGGCTCTCAAACTCAAATGTTGCTTACCTAGTTTCCATTCACTTTTAAAATTGATCTGGCAATAGATCAGTGGAATTAAAATGAGAAATTTATGATTCACAAGACCTTCTGTACCGTGGCGTAATGTTTTTAATGGTGGACAAGTGATGGGCCAGAACTTTTGATTGTTTCCTGTCAAATATTTGTTCCAAAGAGACTACTTGTTCTGGTCTGCTGGCTAGTTCTCATAAACCTTTAATGGTCTTTGCTAAAATAATTTATATAATGCACTCTAAACAGAATGATCTCATACCCTTCCAGTAAAAAGAAATACCCACAGTTGTATGCGTCACTGTGTTTGGGGTAGAAGGATATTGTTAGCTAGTGATACTAATTAAGTGCAATGAAATACAAATAGTTATTAGTTTGTCTGACTGTATTAGATATTTGTGCTGATTTATTACAGCTAGTGCATTTTTTATACATAATCCAGTAAGAAGTCAGGCCTCTCTTACTGCAACCTCTCAGAAAATACTGTAACCACTGGTTGCCTGAATAAATATATCATCACTTAATTCTTCCCCTTCTCAGCTTCTGGGAAAGCTGGCGCACTGCAGTGTGTAAAAGGGATCCTTTCACCAAAGAAACAGAGCTCCAGGAGAAAAACTATTCCCAAATGCTCTTCCACCACATCTTAAAGATTTGAAATACATATGTGATTTGTGCCTCTGTAACAACAGAAAGAGCAAAAGCATGGAGGTGTGTTAGAAGTACGTTAGTACCTTAGTGCATTGCATTGTACATGAAAAATGCCCCATCCCTGGAGGCATTCAAGGCCAGGCTGGATGTGGCTCTGGGCAGCCTGGTCTGCTGGTTGGCAACCCTGCACATAGCAGGGGGGTTGAAACGAGGTGATCATTGTGGTCCTTTTCAACCCAGGCCATTCTATGATTTTATGATATGTTGAGCTCTTTCAAAGCATGTCTGAAAAACTACCAAGGCTGCGTACAGGATCTGTTGCTTCTAAATCCAGTTTAGTGAGTCACAGCTGGTGTGATTATAAACTGAATTTTCTTTTTGTTAGTTTGTGTCGTGTGCAACAGTAAATGACAGTATTTGGCTGTTTTATGGAATATCTCTGTTTAGTTTTTTTAGGACATGTATCACTGAAATGCAATAAATAACACAGTTTACATGTTCATGTGTGTCTTGCAGTGTGTAAGTTTAAAGCACATAAAAGATGTGCTGTCAGAGCAACAAATAACTGCAAATGGACTACATTAGCCTCCATTGGAAAAGATATCATAGAAGATGAAGATGGTGTAAGTACTATTCTTATTTACAGTACTTTCCAGTAGCTGGTTCTTAATGGAAAAAATGGCTGAGCATAGAAATAACGTCATGAGACCCATTGAACTAATGGTACATGGCTGTATTTCCAAACACTTTTCAAAGATTAGCATGGTATTTAAAACAAAATGTTGTAGTTCTTTCTTACAAGAGAAGCTTAATGACTGCGGACACTAGATCGGATGCGTGGTAAAAGATTTTAAAGACCACATGCAGAGAAACTGAAGGTGAAGAATTGCTCTGAGAATTTCCTACTGCTCTTGAGCAAGAGTGGTATTTTACACCATTACCAAGCTGTTTTGGCAATCTATTTTGTGTCCTCCTTACTGATAGCTGTTCCCCAGGAGGTCTGTTTGGAATTAATACTAAATTGCACACCTCGGAATTTCTTTTAATGCACAAGTTATTATTACTGGGACAGTGAGTGCACAGAGAACAGCTTTGTCCTCAACCCAGGGGCTGCTTATAGAACTGTGACTTACCAGTCTTGGATGACTGAGGTAGTACATAAAGCCACATACATACTCTGCTCTCCTGCCTGTTCTTCTGAATTTTAGTTATTGTGATGGGTTTGTGCTGTGCAGTCTGTATTAAATGACTGGGTACATATTTGTTTTAGAGAATTTCTAGATTTAACTGCCTCATTGTTTTGTGCTAGTTGCTAGCACAGTGTCTTGAATAGTAGAATAGTTGAGTGAGAAGTGTCTTTTACTACTACTTTTACTACTAGTTTAGTAGCTTAGTGGTAGTAATGGTGATAGGAGGACGGTTGGACTAGATGATCTTGTAGGTCCTTTCCAATCTTGTGATTCTATGATTCTATGATTCAGCTGCCACACTTTCTACCTAGCATATGAAACAGCACCACAGCCCATTTTGATAGCAGTTGCCTACCAAGAATCAGTGTCACTTCGTTTACTTTGCCATTTGTTTGATGAAAAGGTAGTGCTGTGGAAGTAGTTATAATCCACCTGTAATTGAGAGACAAAAGCTGTGATTTCTCTATCTGGATGTTTAATTTCTATGGCTACTTCTTCACAGATAGCTATGCCTCACCAATGGTTAGAGGGTAATTTGCCCGTCAGTGCCAAATGCGCAGTCTGCGACAAGACCTGTGGCAGTGTTTTACGCCTACAAGATTGGAAGTGCCTTTGGTGTAAAGCTATGGTAGGTGCCACAATCCAAGTGCTTAAGATTTTGCCAGCTCTATTACTTGCCATTATTTTTATTTTTTCATTTCATTACTGTGCTTTTAGATTAAGTAGGGAGAGGCAGCTTATGCAAACTCAGGTCTTTCTAACATTCAACATTTCTCATGACTGTCCTACTTCTTTTGCTTAATATTTAATACTCCCACAAATGCAGTTTTCTTTAATAGGTGTTATCCAATGTGGTTTCTCTGTCTTCTCCTAACTGATAACTGGGGAGGTTCAGATGCCTGTTCTGTATGCGTAATAAACATATGTTAACTTTTTTGTCTCTTTCATAACAGTTAATTTGCATTCATCTTTAACAATTTTACTGCAAGACTCTTGAAGTTCTCTTCTTTAGTATACTTTGTAAACTGCTGATTGAAATTCTATGACAGTGCAATTGCTTTCCCCCCCAGAATATAATTTTTTCTTTATTTTTTTTTAGCCTGTCTAAAAAGAATGCTAGAATATGTGTTGGAATCTCTATATATGCTAAATTATAGAACTAAGAAGTCAGCAGATTTTTTTATTCTTGAGGCTCTGAGCATATACATGTCTAAGGCTCTGTGTTGGCAGTGGAAAATGCTTGGCATCTCCAGAGGTGATTTGAAATTAGATGAACTACAGTACATTCCATACGTGTGATTTTCCAATAGCTATGGAAGAAGACAATATAGCATATATTTTATGGGACACTGGATATGTTTTCAGCTGGTTTGGCTGGCTTGTTCGTCTTCCAGAATATCCAAGTGAACTGCAAGTACGGAGCAATAGCTTTGCGTGAGCTCCCCTCAGTATAGATGCTGGCTGCTGGGAATTTGGTCCTAACTTGCTAGGGGATGGAGGTAAGCCATTCAATTGAAAGGACAATTCATACCTGCCATAGGAATAGTCAGAGATGAAGTCCTCCAAACATACACTTTGTGGAATGTGTAACCAGTTTTGTGGTTAAACACTCACACATTTTTCTACAGTCTCTCTACACCTAATTGTTAAATTTTAGTCTGGTTTTGTTCCACAGATACTCTTATCTGTTGTAGTTCTGCACTGTAGATTAGGGAAATCATTTTTTGTTTATTTTCTAGGTTCACACTGCGTGTAAGGATCTGTACCCTCGTAAATGTCCACTTGGCCAATGTAAGGTATCGATCATACCTCCAACAGCACTAAACAGTATAGACTCTGATGGTACGTAGTATTGTAGTGTGTTCAGTGGTAGTTCTGGACTTGCAATGACTACTGCATTCTGTTTGACTAAGCACGGCTAAAATCCCTCAGTTGAACAAGTGAATGTTGTCTTCACAGTTAGAGAACAGTGCAGTTTTCCATGTAGCTTTTTAGAGGATTATTTAATCCAGAAAATTTTTTAAAAGTTTTATAATTTACCCTGATAGAAATTTTCTCCATTTTAATTTATGACTCTCAGAAATTTTTCAACTGAATAGTCCTCAATCCTTAGTTAAAGCAATCCAGTGCCTGTCTGACATGCAACCCTTGTAGAATGAGCTCTCAAATTCAGATAACTTTGCTTGATACTACATGCTACTGAATGTAAGCTAGCTGAATGGCTACAATTCAACAGCTGCCTTACCAGGCTAAAGAACCAAATGACTTATGTGGTCTCTCCAAATATCTTTCAAATAAAAGTAAGAATCCTGCAACACACTGATAAAGAAACTCAGCAAACATTCAAAATTCAGAGGTGCTCTTTGGTGTCTCGGAATATTTAAGAAGTGGGAGACTGTACTTGAAGGCAGGCAATCGAATGAATACAGACTATCTTGAAATCCAACAGCTTTCTTTCTATAGTTCACATTGATGCTGAATGAGACCAGCAAATTTAACACAGTTTAATGATTTTTACTGTATGAAGATAATATAAGTCATTGTTTATACTGTCTATAATCACTCTTTGCTATTTATTTGCTATTTGGTCTCCAGATCAGAGCACCATTCTGCTATCTATTATTCATGATAACAAGATTGTTCTATCTTTGGAATTATTTTTCTTGGCACTATAATAAATTAGACAAATTTTATTTAAAATTATGGAGTATGATAATGTGGAATTATAAAATGCCTTTAATGGCATTTTTTTGATGTACAGCTTTAGTATTTATTTTAGGCAATAAAAATGACACAGTTATTTTAATATTGCGTGAAGTAAATGTCAACACCTACGCCTGTGATGTCTGATTTTGAAGTGTTGCTGAGAAAGCACTACGTCCATGGAATGTTTATGTTATCAAGAAGTATCAAGAAGTGTCCATTAGAGCCTATTGAGACTCTTATTGAGGGTCTGCTGTAATCATTTAAGACCTGTGTTGATATTAATAACCTGTAATCACAACTGAAGGTCTACTGTTCAATGAGTCTGTTATAATTAATACTCTAACGTCAGCCCCCCAAAAAGTTCTCATGTGAAGAGAAACTGGATATGATAACTGTTAAAATCTGTGAGTATTCTTAGAAAATTCAGGCTTGGATGATCCAGTTCAACCCAGTAAAGAAAAATCAGATGAAAAACCAAACACTTCCAGCTGAAGTATGTATTTCATTCTGTGATAACCTGTGAAGAGATTTGAGCAGTATGCTAACACCTTGTTTGCTGCGGAAGAAAATAAAGCTATTGTCTTCAGGATTTTACTGAATATAGACACTGAAAGTATTAGAGGAAAAAAATGAGCTGGTAAATCTTGAGCAATTACATTTTCCTTGCAGGGCTAATATTCAGTTTAGCATTTACACAATGCATGATAAAATGTACTTCTTTTGTCTTTCATTCCTTTCTTCCTCTTTCCCATGATTTCTTTTTGTGTTGTTCATATTAGAAAGCCTTATTTATTTCATTCTTTCTAACTATGTTCGCAGGTTTCTGGAAAGCCACATGCCCGCCATCCTGTGCCAGTCCTCTTTTAGTTTTTGTTAACTCAAAGAGTGGAGACAATCAGGGAGTAAAGTTTCTTCGTCGATTCAAACAGTCGTTAAATCCAGCTCAGGTGTTCGATTTAATGAATGGAGGACCTCACTTAGGGTAATGACCTTGGAAATCTTGAGCCATCCTTTCTGCGAGGGAATTTAGTGCAAAGCATAGTATTGTGTTGTCCCATTGCAGTAATTCTATCACCAATATCTAGCATGTGACTTCCTATTTAAGATTTACAATAGAGTTTCAGTATGAATTCTGGTGTGTGAAGGGATTGCAGGTTGATACTTTCATTTTAGTAAACCTCATCTGCAGCGGGTGATCAAGTACACTCAAACTTCCATTACTGTAGAGATATGTCCAAAGTGTGACTTAGATAACAAATGCAAAAGGACATGAATATGAGCATCTCATATAAATTTGGAGTCAGCCCACGATTAAAACCACCAGGCATCTACAAAATCTGGAGGTTAATTGTTGAAGAGATAGAGATGAGATTTGAATAGTGATGGCCACAACCCAAGCATCTTTGCACATTCATAACAATTAAATTCATGCACATTTTTCTGTTGCCTAACTTAATTCTGCTCTGATATAACTTTGTGGTTCAGTGGCCTATTAAGATCAGTTAAGGCCACTGAAAACATTATTTTTTGTAATCTTATAGATGGAGAATTATGCTTGCATGATAAGATTTAAACCATAGCAAATGAAAAACTTAACAGTGGGCAATACTACAAATACAATGGAATACAACTTGTATTTTTATAGTTAGTACTGTGTTTTTAAAATATACTAACTCTTCAACTTGTAATATCTTTTTATTGTAATTTTTTTAATCTATGCTACTTTCAGTTAACATTTTGCACATGTAATTATCATAACAATCATAACATAAAAGTAAGGAAGGCTCTTTTTATCTGGAGAGAATTTTGAGACAATCTGAAAAATACACCTGTTTGAAAGTTCTCTTCCTTCTTTTCCTTATTCTATCAACACCATGATTTAAGAGGTTCACTTTGCATTTTGCACAGTAATCATAGGTCAGATTGGTTGCTCTTAAATATTTTTCCTCAGTTTCCAAAGAGAGGTCCTTAGAAGTTATTCTATCAGGTAGTAATGATGTCTATTTTTTTCTAGTTGATCTAAAAAGCTTAGCTGCATTCTTCCCTCAAATAAATGTATCTTTTGTTCTGAAACTGCCTATCATGTACAAATGACATTATTTACTTTAGAAAAATATAAAAGCTTCAAATAATTATGAACTTAATGTGTTGCTTTTTAGAAATAGTTCTCAAATTATACATATTCTGGAAAATAACATGCATTAAGATGAACAAATTTATTTCTTTTATTTTAAAAGCTAACACTTTTTAATTCATTCATTTTAGTTTTACTTGTTTTGCTTTTAAATCCCTGTCGTTCTTACCTCTTGGTTGTTTCTCCATATCTCATTCCCCTTTCCTCTCTGTCTCACATTTCACAGAATCACACAATCACAGAACTGTAGGGGTTGGAAGGGACCTTTACAGACCACTAGAGCAAGCCCCCTGCTAAAGCAGGTTCTCTACAGTATGTTGCACAAGAAAGAGTCCAGAAGGGTTTTGAACGTCTCTAGAGAAGGAGACTCCAAAACCTGTCTGGGCACCATGTTCCAGTGCTCTGTAACCTTTCAAGTAAAGAAGCTTTTCCTCATGTTCACATGGAACTTGGGTTCCAGTGTGTGCCCATTGCCCCTTGTTCTGTCACTTGTTCTGCTTATTCTTTCTTGTTCTCCTTTTCTGTGCTGGTGAAGGGTATTAATTATACTGTGTAAAACAGAATGAGGAACTATAGGAAGTAAGAGCAAGATGTTGCTTTGAGTATGTAATATGAAATACAGTGTTTGTTTTCTGTTGTCATCACCTTGCTTGTAATAATTGCCTCCAACTGTCCTTGCGTTTAATCACTCACAAGTTGGCAAATGCCCACTGGTGTTCTGGAAGATATCCTGTTGTTACATCTTAACTACTTGTGAAAAAATGCCCTGTGCTTCTGACCTTAGCGGGAAGCACAGAACAGCTGTAATTTCAAAGCTTAGAAATTTTTTGAATAATAACAATAAAATCCTGAAAACAATATCAAGGGAATTCTTTTAAAATAAAACTCTGCATGTTATTTATCGGAAGTATCAGTATAAGTGAAATATACAGCAACAAATGGGATATGCAGATAGCTTTACTACAGTAGCTGGTTGCATCCACATACCTCATAATAATAAAAGACTCACCCTTGAGGTGCTGGATACCACATATTCATGTCATGTTTGCTCACGAGTATGTCTGTTGCCTTAGAGGTGAACTCTGACAGGTTGCATTTTCTCTCCAGTTTGCGGCTGTTTCAGAAGTTTGACAACTTCCGGATTCTTGTGTGTGGTGGAGATGGAAGTGTGGGTTGGGTGCTGTCAGAAATCGATAAACTCAGCTTGCACAAACAGGCAAGTGTGTATATTTACTTTCCTTTGCTATACTCACTATACTTCTGTGAGCTTTTTCTTCCTCGGTTTGGTTCTTTCTCATTTATGCCTAGAGAGTCCAAACTCTGTTAAACGAAATTCTTTTATGAATAAGCAGGGTAAGTTGTACTATAATTACACTATTTGATTTGCAAGCTTTTGACACCAGCTAAAATAACTGACGTTATTGAAATAACAAGTATTTGTAATAGATTGTACTTTCTAGTTTTCAATAGTAGATTTGCTCCTGTGTTGTGTTTCAGTGTCAGTTAGGAGTGTTACCCCTTGGTACTGGAAATGACCTTGCTCGTGTCCTTGGTTGGGGAGGATCCTGTGATGATGATACGCAGCTTCCTCAGATTTTGGAGAAATTGGAACGAGCCAGCACAAAAATGTTAGACAGGTAAACTGACATGTGTATATGCCTGATTTATCATGAGATTCAAATTGTATTTGGGTTTCTTGTGGCCTAAATCCATCATAGAAAGTTAATCACAGAATGACGGTATGACTGACGTTGGTAGGAACCTCTGGGTCCATCTGGTTCAGTCCTTGTTCCAGCAGGGGCACCCACACCAGGGTACCTTGGACCACGTTGAAATGTCTATGTCTGTCAAAGGGTACAGATCCTACTCATGAGGAAAGTCAAGACAGTAACTGAGACAGATCTTCACTGTGTGCTTCAAACCAAAGTGCCAGAGGGGAAGGCAGTTGATGAGAATTGTTTTACACAGATGATTAGGAGGAGATATTTTCTTACATAGCTGATGAAGCTGCATAACTGTCTGTTAGAAGTTATAAACATTAAGAAATTGCATAGATTCAAAACCATTCTGGGCAATTTCCCAGACTCCCTGTGTGCTATTAAATACCATTAAAGGTAGCATTGTTATGTAGGAAATACCTGAGCTCTGTATCCTCAAGAGTGGGGAGAATTTGCATGTTGTGCCTTTGCTCTTGTATGCCTGAGACATCAGCAGCTGTAGGCAAGATGCCAGGCTAATTTAGAAATAATTGCTGACCTGGGCTTTCTGAAATATTCACAGAATAAATCATGTATTCTTCTTCTTGTACTGAAAAGAACTTAGTTCATTTTTGCTCTAATTTCAACTGAGTTGCTCTCAAGGCCATCATCAGTAATCTCTTGTTCTTTTCAGCAGGTGTGAATGGTGTTGATACTAGCAATTTCATACTTCCTATGCTGTACTGTCCTTTATCGGGGAAAAAATATATATGTCAGTGAAAATGAAGTTACTTCAGAATTTGCTTTGTTCTCTTGCCTCCATACATGAAAATGCGAAGCTAGAGATTTTTGTAGAGTCAGAGTCATAGAATATCCTGAATTGGAAGGAGCCCATAAGGATCATAGAGTCCAACTCCTGACTGCACACAGGACAACCCAAAAAGCAGACTGTATGTCTGAGAGCACTGTCCAAACACTCTTTGAAGTCCAGCAGCTCGAGGCTGTACCCACTGCCCTGTGCAGGCTGTCCCATGCCCACCACCCTCTGGTGCAGACCCTGTCCCCAGCCCCCAGCTGCCCTCCCCTGACACAGCTCCATGCCGTTCCCTCGGGCCCTGTCGCTGTCACAGAGCAGAGCTCAGCGCTGCCCTCCGCTCCCTGTGAGGAGCTGCAGCCGCCATCAGGCCTCCCCTCAGCTCCTCTGCTCTGGGCTGAGCAAACACAGGGACCTAAGCCACCCCTCATACATCTTCCCCTCCATACCCTGCCCCATCTTTGTAGCACTCCTTTGGATGCTAAAACAAAAAAAAATATGAGTAATAAAATGTCTTTGGTTTCAAATATTTCACTCATATTCAGCTGTCCTATGATTAAAATTTAAGCTTTTTAAAAGAGGTTATTCTGTAGTGTTCTTTTTGTTGATATGCCTAAGAAAAAGATAATGCTCTAATCTGGAAACATAAAAGCCATTGTGTTTCTTTTAGGTGGAGTATAATGTCATATGAACTAAAATTACCAGCAAAGCCTTCAATTCCTTCAGTCACTGTAGAAGAAGAGTCAGAGGAATGCCAGGTGAAGTTTCACTTTTGATTTCTTTTTCATGGGCTTAACTTTGAGCTGTTGGAATGACAGAGTTTGAAATATCATTACAACGCTTCTGTGCAAAATAGAAACAGATGTTTTCCAATCTGCTAACTCAGTGCAGTTAATACCTGCTCACTGTGTGTATATCAATCATGGTTTCATGTTCTGTGTTACTTACCAAAAATGAATGAAGCTAAAGAATCTTCAGCAGAACTGTAGAAATAAATTGGTTCTATAAATGTATACTGAACAAAAAAAACACGACGTAATGTTTTCTACTTACTTGAACTTGGAAAAAGCATTGAGAAAAACACTTTGAAGGTGATAGTTGTTTTTGAAAGAGAGAAGCTGTTGGAGCTTGTAGAAGTCAGTTAGATTGGGTGACACCACCTGTTGTCCTTTCAGAGAGCTTGAAATCATAAGTGCTTCAGAAAAAGGAAAATGTAGTCTATCTTTAAAGCTAGATTTGTGTTTATACTGTCTGATGAGGATTTGATTTTGTTGGAGAATGGGATGCTTAAATCAAATTAATTGACATAAAAAGATTGATTAAGATGACAAAGTAATGTATTCCTAAGGTAGTTAATGCATATCAACTTTAGCTCAAAAGTACTTGAGAAGCAATAATTAATCAGGAGGTTCTTGAATGATTTAATGATTCAGGCTGTCTTAATTGGCAGGGAGGTTATAACCTTTGACAGCTTGCTGCATATGGAGATACAGAGAGACTGGGGCTGCTCTGACTGTAATTCTAATGTAGTTGTTTCCAGTGTCAGCAGTGCAAATTTGTGGTTTTATTGTCTCTAATTTTGCAAGACTCTTAACATTTTCAAGTTTATCTTCACCTTGTAAATACATTTTCTTCTTGTTTGTTCTGGCTTTGAAGTTATGTTTAGCCTCTCCTGAAAATATAACTAAGTAGTTATACAAAACCTCTTTTTTGGAGAATCAATTCTGCAGTCTATTACTCTGATTTGGAGAAAGCCATTTTCTTTTGAGCACACTGTTTAATCTCTTTGTGTGTAATTTATTGAGTTATGATATTTTGGAACAGATAACTAACCTTACAGTAATTAATGTGTTCAAGTGCAGTGCCAAAATTAACTATAACTACATAGCTGATTCTTTTTCTTTGAGTTTCAAGAGAACTATTTCACTGGGTTTGGTCCCAGAAGACTTTACTGTTTATTGTTCAAACACTTGTTCATTCTTACAGATTAAATGTAGGTATTGTTTTCTTTCCTTGAAATTAAAATTCATAGTATGGTTTGGGTTGGAAGGGACCTTTAAGATCATCTAGTTCCAACGCCCTGCTATAGGCAGGGACACCTCCCCTCAGACCAGGTTGCTCAAAGCCCCATCCAGCCTGGCTTTGAATGCTTCTAGGAAGGGGGCATCCACAGCCTCTCTGGGCAACCTGTTCCGATGTCTCACCACCCTCGCAGTGAAGAATTTCTTCCTAAGATCTAGTCTAAATCTACCTCCTTCCAATTTAAAGCCATTTCCTCTTGTTCTGTTGCTACACATCCTTAAAAAAAGTCCTTCCCCAGCTTTCCTGTAGGCCCCCTTCAGGTACTGAAGGCGGCCATGATGTCCCCCCAGAACCTTCTCCAGGCTGAAGAGCCCCAGCTCTCTCAGCCTCTTCTTACAGGGGAGGTTCTCCATCCCTCTGATCATCTTCATGGCCATCCTCTGGTCCCTCTCCAACAGCTCCATGTCCTTCTTGTGCTGGGGGCTCCAGAACTGGATGCAGGTGGGGTCTCACAAGGGCAGAGCAGAGGGGCAGAATCACCTCCCTTACCTTGCTGGTCACACTTCTGTTGATGCACTCAGGATACAGTTGGCCTTCTGGGCTACAAGCACACACAGTTGATTTACTGTCAGAGCTCTACTGTTAAGGTTGGGTTTTAGAAGTTAAGAAAGTGATATATCTGATAAATATTAAATATAAAAATGAATATTAAAAAAAAGAGTGATAGGTACATCCATGTCAAGGACAAAAACACACTGAGGCATCTTAAGAGATTCCTAAAGGAGGCCATCAGAAAATTTCAAACTGCAGTTATTTTTAGCTTTAAGTCTGGAATGCGGTTAGAATTTTCTGTTAAAAATGAGATATGGATCTATGCCTGTTTTGAGGCAGAATAGTGTGTGAACACGATTCTGATCTCTTCTGAATCTTTTGTAACTTCTGTAACTCTCAGTAATTCCTCTTGGCAGGAGAAGTAGGAAAATGCACACTTTTCTTCCAGACACTTTTTATGAAATCTAATTAAGGATGAATCACAAAGGATTTTCTTTGATAACATTATGCCAAGTTTTACAGCTTTTGTCAATAGGAGTACTTGGGGAGCAAGATACCATTTGATAGCAAAAAGAAAATCAAGATTATAAACCACCGACATTTGACTTATTCTTAGTCAAGCTGCTTAGCTTCATGGAAACTTTGCTTGTTTTGGAAATAAAAGAAATATTATGATTGTTTAGTATGTAACAAATCTGAAAAGATGGTAGGTTGTTTCTACCTCATGGACTACTTTGAGTTTTTTTAGAAAAAAAGGAGGAAAAGAGCTGTTCAGGTTCTCAGATGCAGTGCTATTTTGAATATTAAAAATTTGTTATGTGAAATTTAGTACGTAGATAGGAGCAGCATTGCCAGCTACTTGACCTTGCAGTAGATCTGCCATGGAAATCCTGCTATGTTTAAGGTGTTTTGACACACAAGTTGGTGTTAAAATGCTGAAAAGTGTGGAAATTGAAGTCTTCTTTCCTCTCTCTTTTCAGATATCTGCTTACGAGGATTCAGTTGCTGCTCATCTTGCAAAAATTCTCAATTCTGATCAGCACTCAGTTGTCATATCTTCTGCCAAGTGAGTCGGACATTTTTATGTACTGTGTAGGATAAATCCTCTGTGTAATGTTACAACCATGGTGGCCTTCTGTCTAAGACCAATTTGCTTATGGTAGGCCCAGCTGGTTTGACTTAACACCTTAGAGCAGATGTTTATTCTGCAGAGGTTTTATGTAGTACAATTGGAAATAGATAATAATGAAAGCATTTTAAAACAAATTACATAATATTATTATAAAATGCTCTTAATTCACTCACAATTCACACAGATTACATATGAAACATACAGTTGCTAATGTAAATATGTGACCTACTTCACATCACATCTATTATGCTTTGTTCTATGCATGCCTGTATCATTAAGAGGACAAAAAGCTTCACTGCTGTGAAGCAGAATGTCAAATCAGTAGCTTTGTTACAGCTGTTTGTGGCAGTTCTATAAACAGTGGTCTCCGACAACCGGGTATTTTCTCTTTCTGCAAACAGAAACTTAAAAGTGAAAGAATTGCTCTACACATCATGGACATATCTGAAATAAGTATTCTGTGTATACCTTCTCACAGAATATTCAGAAATACATCTGTCTGTCATTACATCTCATTGTCTTCTGCTAAAAGCAAGTTAACAACATTTCATTTTTAAAGCATACGTAGTGCATGTTGAAGATAAAACTGCAGAATTTTGTTATTCCTCAAAATTCTAAATTGTATCTGTATCTTGTTAAATCTATTTAGTTCACGTAAAGTAAATTAATATTGGTCATGTTAATATAAGTTCTTAGAAATAAGATGCATGCAATGGCTTAAATAAAACTAAAAAAAGAGAATGTTTTTTAATTGATTTTCACTTGAATTTTGCAAACCATGGAGAAAAATATCATTTGCAAAACTCATTTGACAACAAAAATAGTGTATGACAGTATTCATATAAATCACTTGCCATAAGATTTTTTTATTCAAAAAAAAAATGTTTATTTTATTTTATTTTTCCCCTTTTCTATTATTACCAAGAATATTGTGTGAAACTGTAAAGGACTTTGTTGCCAAAATAGGGAAGACTTACGAAAAACCAGTGGAAAATGCAGATGAAGCTGATGCCATGGCCATTAAAGTAAGATATGACTATTTTCTGGGTTAAGGTTTTTTTCTTTTTTGTTTTCTCTCTTTTTTTTAAAGTTTCTAGCACATGGGTGTTTAATTTTCAAATGGCTTCAGGATGCCCATTTTGGCTTCCATTTATACATTGTCTTTTGAGTTCTGCTCTTTTGAGTGCTTAGACCATCTTTGCACTGTGAGATCTCTACAAACTCTACACATTTTTTGCCTTTACAAAAGATTGAACACAGAATATACATAGAGATGGAGTTAGTTTGCATTAGTATTTATACTTTTGTCTGAAGGTGGTTACCGTAGCTACAGGAAAACAATCAACTAGTGAGAGAGTATGATGGAAGAATGAAGGGAAGAGAAATTCCAGCATTAAAAATAAAAGTTTAACAAATTGTAGAGATCAAGTTGCAGAAATATTGAAAAAGACAGGAGGATTTTGTCTGACCAACAAAATTTCATGGACGGAAAAGAAGTAAACAAAATCGCTAACAATCCCAGAGTCCAAAGATTGACAGATTGCAATTACTTAGTGATTCACGTTTCATGGAATCATTGAGTGGCTTAGTTTGGAGGGGACTTCAGAGATCGTCTACGTCCAGCTCTCTTGCCATGGGCAGGGCTGCCATCTACCAGATCAGGCTGGTCATCCAACCTGGCCTTGAATGCTTCAGGGATGAGACATCCACAGCTTCTCTGGACAACCTGTGCCAGCACTTCACCACCCTCTGAGTAAAAAACTTCTTTCTAACATGTAACCTAAATCTCCCCTCTCTTAGTTTCAAGCCATTCCCCCTTGTCCTATCACTAACAGACTGTGTAAAAACTCTTTCCTCCTTCTGCTTGTAAACTCCCTTGAAGTACTGGAAGGCCGTAATGAGGTCTCCCTGGAGCCTTCTCTTCTCCAAACTAAACAAGCTCAACTCCCTCAGCCTTTCTTCACAGAAGAGATGTTCCAGCTCACTGATGATCTTCATGGCCCACCTCTGGACCCAGTCCAACAGCTCTGTACCCTTCCTGTCCTGGAGCCCCAGACCTGAAAGCAGTGTTCTAAATGGGGCCTCATGAGAGCAGAGCAGAGGGGTTCAATTCCCTCCCTCTCCTTGCTGACCACCACACTTTGGATGCAGCCTGGGATTCTGTTGGCCCTCCAAGCTGTTTATGTCCAGCTTTTTTCACTGTTCTAGGGCAAAACAGTCCTGTTTCTATTAAACACAGCAATTTGCCTCTTTTCCAGTGTACCTAGAGAGGGCAACTGCTTGATCAGGGCTAGACATGTTTGACAGTGCTTCCTCAGTGCCAATTCACTTGCTTAAATGTACAGCTGTGTTGTCAAAAAATAACACCATGTGTTTTCAGTCTAGCATGTCTCCATAGGTAGTTCCTCTGAATTGGGATGATGACTGCCCATAATTAGTTATACTGTGTGGTGTGGACAAATCTGGCAGCCCTATCCATGTTGCTGACTGTCAGAAGAAGAGTAGGATCTAATCTATATCGTAGAATAGTAGAATGGCTTTAGTTGAAAGGGACATCATAGATCATCCAGTTGCAACCCCTTGCTGTGTGCAGTGCCAGCCACCAGATCAGACTGCCCAGGGTCCCATCCAGCCTGGCCTTGAGGGCCTCCTAGAATGGGGCATCCACAGCTTCTCTGGGCAAGTATCCTACTTAATTGGCAGGCTGAGTTTAGCACTATGTGTTGTTTTAGTCAGAATGTAGCTTTTTTTGGTTATAGTCGCTTCAAGCAAGTTCAGTGTTGCAGGGTCTTCTACCAACAGGCCGTGCAAGCCTACTCATAATCTGATTGTACAAAGTGTTGAATTCGTGCTTAGATTTTACATCGATAATTTCGTAGAGATGTAGGCACAATTTTAGTTCATACCATATGGAGAATGTAGATCTCTCTCTGTAACATCATGCTTAATTTCCTCAAGATGTTCACCTTCGTTGCTTTTTAGCTTATGTGTACTCTTTCCTCCTTTTCTTAGTGTTCAGAGCTAAATGAGAAGCTCGACCTCTTACTCCAAGCGCTTCACACAGAAGCCCAGGCTGCTCCTGTTCTCCCAGGCGTCACTCCCCCCATTGTTGAAGAAGAAGGAGAGGAGTTTTCAAGTGAGGAATCCTTGTCTGAAAGTAAAGAGCAATTAGTGGAGTGTGTTGCAAAGTCTTCCACCCAGAAACTCTTCAAACCAAGAGAACAATTGATGCTCCGGGCAAACAGCTTAAAGAAGGCTGTGAGGCAGATCATTGAACAAGCAGAAAAAGGTGCACATTCATCTTTATTGATAAGGATGCTTTTTTTCCCTTAAAACTAGCATAAATTTTAATATTGAAGCTTGAAATTTTTATTCTTGCATGCATATCCTTATTATGAACTTCAAGGACAAGAAATGCAGTATGTTTAGAAGTTGATGATGGTCTGTTTGCATATATGAATACATATTTATGCATGTGTGTGCATGTATACATATCTTTTGTAATTATTAACCTTCAGAAAATGACAGTTTCTGATGGAATTATATCAATGGGCTGCTATAGAATGATTTTCACTGGAGAGGCAATAAAAATCTCTTGTTAATATTTTTAAACTCGCAGCTACAGAAAAAAACCCTAATGCTAATTTTCTTTTTATGTGTATTTTCTGAGAGATCTTTAAACTTTTTCTTATTTTTATTGTATTTTATTTCTTGAAATAAGCAGTTGTGGATGAGCAGAATGCTCATAGTGAAGAACAAGTGAACCAGTCCCCTGTAGAATATAGCAAGGAGTTGGACGAATCCAAAGAAGAGGAAAAAGAGGAAGATACAAAGGAATTTGAATCCCAGACAAGTGAGTAAAATAGTAGTAGAATCATTTTAAAGTGTGCAGTCTTCTTACATAGTTAGTTGCATAGTTAAAAAAGATTTGATTATTTGCATTGTTTTTATTACTCTCTCAGAAACATCTTTGTCTATGATGTTTCATTTTGTCTATTCAAGTGTTTGGTTACTGTATGTAAAGTAGTATTTATGGAATAGTATTGTCAACTTATGTCCTGACACAGAATAGTACTAATTCACACATTCAAATGATAGGGTAAAATCTCTCCTTCATGTGTCCATTACAAAATCTGTCAGCAAGAGGCTGCTGCGAAAGGTCTGTCTGTGAGGGACCCTCACTTTACTCTAAGCCACAGCAAATCTTCACAGTATGCTGTCGTCCTGACGTTCTGCTGGTGTCTCTGTCAGTGGTTCCTACCTTAGAAATGCATCATTAGATCCTTGGGGCTTCTGTTGATTCAGGATCTCACATGTCTTTTTCTCCAGGAGTGGATATCAGGCTTTGTACAGTGATTGTCTCTCCATCAGCCCTCTAACCATTAACCAGTCTCTAACCTCTAGCCAACACAGTGCATGTTGATTGACCTGTTTCAACAGTTCCAGCTCACAGAGGATGCTGGCACTAAGAATGACCTGCTCCTAATGCCACTGATGCAAAATGAAATTAACACACGTGAACGTGTGTTTATATATATATAAACCCCTGGTTTCTTGGTAGTACAATTTTTATGCCTATTGTAGAAATATGTTATTCTTCATCCATCTGAAATATGTGAAATAGAGTGCATATTAATGTTGTCAGTGGGAGATAGCTGCTTGGGGAGAAAGTATGAAACATGGATTCAATTATCTGCAATGAAACATCAGTTCTACTCATTAGGGCTCTGTTGTTTTTATCAGAGCATGAACAGCAAAAGTTTATCTTTATTGTAGTTATCCCCACGAGCCTCATCTGTCAAATAAAGAGCAGCTGTTCTGTTGATTTTCCTATTTAATGTAACTGCCTTGTTCCCAAGTACAGAGAGAACAGACTGCATGAATAGCATTGTGAATTTTTCAGTAGTGTTAAGAAAAATATAAGTTAATTGTGTTCTGAATATTATATTTTACCCTCTGAGATTATTTCTGATCACTTGATGAAGGTAATATTTTTCCATATGTTAATTAACTTCATTTAAGTATTTCATAACTCCTGTTAGATACAACTTGCCATTTTTGTTTCATTTTTTAACATTATAGTACAGTGTTTTGTCATGCCCATATACAAATAGTTGTACTGCATTATTGACCTTCTTGGCCACCTGGGCACACTGCTGGCTCCTACTCTTATCTTATATCTTCACTTTCCCCTTGATTTTCTTCCCATTCTTTTTTCTGGACTGTTATTTGCCTTTGTCACCAACAATTTGACCAGCTGCCAAATTTACATGTTGCAAGATTTTCTTCATCCATATTCTGTAAAATTTTTAAGACATAATTTTTAAGACATAATTTTTAACACATAAACATTTTCAATTATTTGGGGAATTCCAGCTATTTGTGAAAAAGAAATGATGGCAAACTGATCTCCTTTGTGATCTCTGTAACCGCAGAAGATAATATCTGAACGTGGCTTTCCCTTCCCTTCCATTTTTCAGTTTGGTTGTAGATAAAGATATCAAAGTTTTGGTTGATGTTTTCAGAAACCTGATGCAGGCAGGAGGTCAATTTTAGCTGCTTAGTGCGAGGATTACAGCTGTTCATCAGGTGGCCTAATTTCAGTCTGAGTTTTGTAATAGCTATCTATAACAGAATTACTATAAATACATAATATTTTGGTTTCTATTCTATTCTATTTAATATATAATATGGGTATATTTGTAAGTAAATGCATACTAAATTTAAGTTCAAATTCATATTAATTCATTGGCATTTATCCTTTAATAATAACTGATTTTTTTTCTTTCTCAAGTCTGCATTTGTGTGAAACTTGATCATATAATCACAGAATGGCCTGGGTTGAAAAGAACCCAATGACCATCTAGTTTCAACCCCCCTGCTATGTGCAGGGTCACCAACTACCAGACCAGGCTGCCCAGAGCCACATCCAGCCTGGCCTTGAATGCCTCCAGGGATGGGGCATCCACAACCTCCTTGGGCAACCTGTTCCAGTGCATCACCACCCTCTGAGTGAAAAACTTCCTCCTAATATCTAACCTAAACCTCTCCTGTCTCAATTTAAGACCATTCCCCCTTGTCCTATCACTTTCCTTACCCATGTAAACAGTTGTACCCCCTCCTGTTGTGAGTTTTCTTCCTGGTATTTAGAAGAGAAAATGTTGTGTGAGGGACAAGGAAGTTTCTCACTGAAGCATAACAGATACATGCTTTTGAATTACTTTCAAGGCTGTAAAAACAGTGTATTTACCACAATTGCTCTAGTGAGTTCTCTTTCTTTTACCTCTGAACAGGTAAAACTGCACCAAGATCTCCTGATCGACGTACAAGTCGAGGTATCCATTCTCAGACAGGCTCTTTCTCTGCTCCAGCTTTGGCTGCCAGCAAAGAGAACCTCCCTGTCCTTAACACTAGGATTATCTGCCCAGGTAATTGTGATTTTAAAATCTGGTGTTCCTCACTCTCTGTTAATATTGCCTTCTGTTCTCCTTCTTGCTGCCAAATAATACTTCATGCCTGGTGCTCTGCGTGGAAATAGAACCCTCCAAACTCATCTGAACTGACAAACACTCCTTCATGTTGTATTGTTGAGTAGGAAGTGCAAAGGAATGTAGAATACTCCTGGTCATTTGGCACAACACCAGATGTAGCAGAAGTGTTGCATTTGATTCTGGATGATGAAAAACTGGAATGCAGGATCTCCTATCGTTCATCCTAACCAATGGAGGCTCTTCAGGTTCTGATCTCCTGTACTGCTGAAACAAATCTGTTCCTACCCAAATGCAATTAATAGTAGGGGGCACCAATAAATCACTGTTTTAACTAACTTAATTAATGCATTTAATGAATGATGGATATGAACTCACATTTTTCTTCAGGTCAATTTAAGCGAAAGCTTTTAGAAAGTACTTCCCTCTGTTTACTTGCATTGCATAGTATTTTATGTTGTGCTCAGTGATCAAAGTAGGCATGGAGAGTTCATCAGGTCTTCAGGAGCCTCTCAGTCATCTCATGCTTACCAAGCTAAACATGTAAGCATTCACTGAAGCTTAGTTGCTAGTTGCAGAACCAACCACATGAATGTTGATTTTATGACAGTTGCCTTCTGAAGGACAGGATGAAAAGAAAATTGTGATGAGTTTGGGGATGAAAATTATACTGAATAAAAACTCTAATGATATTTCTGAGTGTTAGATGGCTGATTGGGTGTATGCCAACCATTGAATGTTGGCCTGAAATCTTGAATTTTCTCTTTTGTCTTTTTCAATGGTGGTACCTGAAGATTTAGCCAAACCTCAGCATAACTGACTTTCTGTTCAAGACAACTGGAATCCTGAAAAGATAATCAATATAGATAAAAATTAAGATAGAATCTCAACCCCTCCATACAAGGATTTGATGAATATTTTGTCTCAGAATTATATCACTTACATTATGACAATATATGTTTCTCTGTTTAATAAATCAAAATTGTTTAGTTATTTTCTTGCTATTTTTTGTTTCTTTTTATCAGGATTAAGGGCTGGCCTAGCTGCTTCTATTGCAGGAAGTTCAATTATTAGCAAAATGTTACTAGCTAACATCGATCCATTTGGTGCTACACCATTTATTGACCCGGATCCAGATTCATTGTAAGCAATTTTTTTTTCAAAATCTACTGTTTCACTTTACTTAGCATTACTTAAGCTTTTTAGCTTGTCATAATTTTTTTTTTCCACTATGAAATTCTGTTTTGCTATCTATTTTCTGTAGACCTCGAGGTCTGAAAACATGCTGAATTGTGCCTTTTTAGATTAAGCCCTTAGTTATGAGTAGCCCAGGATTGTCTTGTAGCAGCAGAAATAATGGAAAACATTTGCTCACTTACTCCTTGCATGGTCTGAGAGAACAAGAACTGGATACTCTTGCCTGAACAGCTGGTCTGCACACAAGCTAAACTGCCAGCAAAACACTAAAGCAGGACCTTGGGGTGGAGGAAGAAGTGTCTGCCTAAGGATTGGGACAGTAAGGCAGAAATTTGTGTCCTAAATTGTCTCTGCTTCCCAGAACTAGATGTAGCATTGACAGAGACTCACAGATGGCATCTGGGCTGTGGGCTGTGGCCCTACATGGAGACTCTAAAACAAAGCACTGCTGTGCCAGTACCGCCAGCATGTCTAAATGCAGCCTTGGTGCTCAGCCCACTTTGATGCTGCTGCCTCAGAGCTGTGTACAAGGCAGATCTTTCCTCCTATTCCACTGTTATTTTGGGTTTGATGGAGATATTGGGGTATGTTACAGTTTCTTCTTTCTCCTACCAGAAGCTGCTTGCATTTGCAAAGGAGACAGCAGCCAATCTGTTTCTTTAACAACCATTAAGCTTCCTCAGGGAGGTTCAGAGGAACTGTGGTGTGATGTGTCCTGTTGATGTATCTGCTCTGAGACCATCCAGTGCGTTGGTCATAGCTCTGTGTGCTGGGGACTGTAAAAATGTACAATTAATTATCTCTTTTCTTCTTAAAGGGAGGGATATTCAGAAAAATGTGTCATGAACAACTATTTTGGAATTGGGTTAGATGCAAAAATTTCACTTGAATTTAATAACAAGCGGGAAGAGCACCCTGAAAAATGCAGGTAATTGTCAGTAATAGAGCTGAGACATTTCTATATGTTTTATTTTCCTTATCTCTGTAATTGAGTTCTTTGCTTTCAGTTTCTCCTACAAATGCAAGACATAATATGTGCATTTCAATATGTTATTTTACCTTTTTTGCAGAAGTCGCACAAAAAACATGATGTGGTATGGAGTTCTTGGCACAAAAGAGCTACTGCAGAGAACTTACAAGAACCTAGAACAAAAAGTTCAACTCGAGGTAATTTTTGTTCATAGGTAGAATGAACCTTTTTTTTTTTTTTTTTTTTTGCTTCTGCAACATGTAGTGATGGATGTGATTCCCCTTGAAAACTTTCAGAGTTCTTGCGTCAGCCCAGGCTTGTAAAATCCTTCCCTCAAACACACTGTCTAAAAACATTCAATGTAAGAGGCAATTCCCCAGGTGATTTATTGGATTTAAATGTCAGTATTTAAATATCTCAAGATATCTGGTTTCATGTTTGTTGCAAGTGCTTTTTAAAAAACGTTTAAAATGTGTTGCATAGATAATACATAAAGGGTGTTTTTTAATGAGCACTGCCTTAGATTGAGAGATCGGGTTTTAAGGACAATAGCAGAATGGTGCATACACTAAACAGAAAGAAAAGTTTACCAAATTATAATCCTTCAGGTTCATTTTAAACTATCTGACAGCTTGATTACACATATAGAGAGAGCACACAGATGGCCTTAGGAAAAAAATCCTGACAGAAGAGGAAAGATTCTGAGTGAGCATCGCAAGAAGCACAGCTACACCTACAGAGACTTTCTCAAATAGGTGTTTGTGATAACCACACAGAGCAAGAGAAAGGTATTATCACAGCAACAACAAATGAGGTATAAATTATCTGAACATCATTATTTTTTTAGGTTGGAGCAGCAAATCTAAGTCTTATTCACCATACTAGGACTTTACAGGAGATGATATAAATAGTCACCAAATGCACAAAATGGCTGTGCAACAGTCATGATTGTGTTCACTCAAAGAATACTTAGGCTGGAATTTGACAGAAAATAAGTAGTGTCTTTTTTTTCTTCGTGCTAACTATTTTAAGTGGAATTTCATGATGTTTATGTGAAGATAAACATCATAAAGTTACGTTCTGTTATAACATATATCATTGTAAGTTCATAGAATCATTAAGGTTGGTAAAGATCTCCAAGACCATCCAATCCTACCATCCACCTACCATCCATATTTCCCCACTGAACCATTTCCCTGAGGACATCTCCATGTTTCTTGAACACCTTGGAACTCTTTCTCTCACTGAGCTTTAGGAGGATATTTTATGGTAGAGTCAGCTTGTTGTTACCTAACAATTGAATAATTATCAAGGAATTATGCAGTAGTTAGTGAACATAATGACAACCAGGAGCATTATATATGCTGCAGATAGAATTCTAATTTAATGTTATTTGAATAAGATTCAAAAATGTATTCATATCTGACCTCTCCATAATTATTTCTGAATATATCTGCAAGTAAAACAGCAAGTAGAAAACTTGTATCTATTATTGCCTTGCATAATATCAGTCTTATGTTAAAACTTGTGATGAGGTGCTCAGCTTCGGAAAATTAAAAATATCAGTTTCAGGAATTGGAGGCAAACCTCTACTGCAATACAAATGGCTATGCAGCATCTGTTAATATCAGAGCATATGTTGGCTACTGACACATTCTGATGGAAATGTTTAACTGTGTTTTGTTGCTGACATTAAAGCATGAAAAGAAAATGCTAATCATATTCTGGAAATATTCTGCATCTCCTTCTCCTCTTAATACAATTGCTGAAGATTTCCTCCTTATTTTCTAGGGATTTCTACTTCACTTGTATAATTCTATTTCCATGGCATTAGTAACTTGGTATTTTAGCAATCTTCTTTAAAAGAAACTTTATCTGCAAATTCATTATCTCCAAAGTGACATTGAATCCCACATGTAGATTCTTAGATGTCCTGTTCACTTTAAGTACATGCTTGTGGCACTGCTGCAGGACAGCACTTGTGGCCAAAGATTTTTTCACTGTAATATGTCCTCTAATCACAAGTAGAATGAGATTGACCTGACTGACGTGATTCTGTGGTTGTATTGAGTAGTGCTTGTTGTTGATAGTGATTTTCAGAGGATAAAGAGGACCAACCTCTTACCTGCAACCCCTCCCCACCAAACTCCTGCACACAGCCAAGGTGACAAATCTGGAGTCAGTCCTAGATTTGTCTTTGTGCTCTTGGGAGGACAGTGAGTTATTTGTGCAGGAAGCCATGTATACTAGTCACAGAATCACAGAAACACCAAGGTTGGAAAAGACCTACAAGATTACCCAGTCCAACCATCCACCCATCACCAATAGTTCTCACTAAACCATATCTCTCAACACAACATCCAAACGTTCCTTGAACACCTCCAGGGTTGGTGACTCCACCACCTCCTTCGGCAGCCCATTCCAGTGCCAGTGGCCATGCCACAATTTCTATATTTTATAATTTGTTTTGTGTTGGGTTTTTGGTTTTTTTTTCCCCCGCTTAATGGGATTACCTAAACAACAAGCAAATTGCAATTTTGGCAGTGCAGATACTGGATGGGTGGATGAAGCTTTTATAATGTCAATGGGCATTACTGTCTTACCGTGTACACTAAAAGAATTAGCTTTCCTCATTGCACGGAGATTTGTAATCCTTGATAGACAGCACGTGGTTAAAATGTATGAGGAATTTAGCAGTTAGGAGTGTTGAAATGCTTCTTGGAAGAATCATAGAACACCTCTGCTGTAGAGACTCGTCATCTCTGCAAAAATTGTTGCTGAAATTGGTGAGGAAAAGATTATTAGAGCTGCTCCGCAGTGTGGGTGGAATAGGCTTCTGTCAACCTATTAATGAGTCTGTCCTCCCTGACAGCTCTAGTGATTCTTCATGTATTAAAACAGCCAACTGCTGTTATCACGTTATTTATATACTGAATGAGCTTTTATCCATTACAGTGTGATGGACAGTACATCCCTCTTCCAAGTCTGCAGGGCATAGCTGTGCTAAACATTCCCAGCTATGCTGGTGGGACCAATTTCTGGGGAGGAACCAAGGAAGATGATGTGAGTAATACTGAACAGAAGTGACCTTCTAGGGAGTCTACTTGAGTTTAAACCATATTGTCTTGTGTTTGATTTTTTAATTGAGAATATACATGCCATGATTTTGCATTGTCTTTTGTCATGTTCTGTCATAAATGAGATTTCTCAATGCATACATACCTCTGTTCCAGTCTAAGAATAAGGAGAATGGGCAAAGAAAATCACACAGTTTATATCCAGATTTTTCTCCTCCTTTTCAAGCAGCTTGAGCTAATGGGTGATCATTCAGAAATGAGGATGGTACACTAACTGATTGGTAATTAAGTGGGGATAGTAATCTGCTTTTTAAGTACTGTTTTCATTGAGCTTTTTTCCCTTCTGCCTCAAATCTCTTAAGAAATGTTGCACTACTCAGGTATCTGTATGTTTTACAGCGTGAAGCAGTCTGACTGCTGCTCTCTGCTTCATGCCCAGTGCAGCCATTGTAATTGCTAGCAGATCATCCCAATTCTGAATGTCCCAATTTACTGAGATTTGACTTACCTAACACTGTACTTGCAAATTCGAGTGTTTAAATATCAACAATCCAGGACTTCTTTTCACCAGAATGCTTTTGCTTTCTTGTGACTTACGATTCTCTAGTTAGTACATACATAAAAGTCACACACACACACCCCAAAAAAAATCCTGAATGTGTTTCAGTGTCCTTTTCTTATTTTTGGTATATGTCAGAGAATGGCAGTTATGTTTATATTTGGCTATGGGTGTCTAATGTTTTGATATTCTTCACGTTCACATTCATAGCCTTGAAGCATCTCTAACATCTGCTTAGCTCCTATTCAGGAGATCTTTTTCTTTCTGGGCCGTTTCACTGAGAGAGATCTGTCCTAGCTTTCATACTGGCATACAGCAAGTATATATGAGCAGTTTTATTGATATTTGTGGTTGTCTGTTGCCAGAAAAGTGACATGTTTATTCTGGACAAAGTTAGGAACGTAATTCACTACTTTTACTGCAATCCTGAGTGACTGATGTCATTGATGGTGATGATCTGAAATGCTGCCAGTTCTGCTTAGCTGGACAAAAGGAAGATGTTGCCTTGATGGCTGTGACTCCAGGCCCAATAGAGTTGCATTTTCATTCTTTGACATTTGTCTGTTCAAGACTTACTTCAGTGCCATCCTGGGATGCTCTGAGGACGATTGCCACCTGGATGGGGTACTAAACGATGGCAACTGTGCAGCCTTTTGCCTGAGAGGACTTCCTCAGTCCGTTGGCCAAAGCCACCTCACTGCACTGGGGTGAAGACTCCCATTGGCCAGGGGAGCAATAGGGACCAAAGCTCTTCCTCATTTCCCATCCTCACCCTCCCTAAGACATTGATGTAGCGATTTATGCAGTCCTGGATCTTCATTTTCTTATTCTTCACCTCCAGGAAATCCACTTACAAGGGGCAAAACCTGACTGGATTTGGCTTTGGGCTCCTTTTGAGGATTTTCTCTTGTATGGCTTCTGGTGTCATCAAAGCAGCTTACTTTGCGTATGGTGCCAATTAAGTTTGCCTGAGTACCACTCAGAAAAATGGTCTCTTAACCCACTGTAATCTTACTGGAGTGATATCTGCTCATTTTTCTCCCTTGTTGCTCCCAGTTCCATGTCAATCTGAAATGGTCAGTCTTCAGGGGCCTTGGGAATAGGGCTAGACCCTATCTCTCTTGAATGAGTTGAACTGCAGCCTGGGATACCCCTCTAACACATCTGAGTTTTGCTGCAGGACACCAGCTGCCAGTGGCACGCACTTGGCTTTGTGCACTTCTCTTAACTCATGGAAATTCAAAGCCTTGACTGGATCAGGACGTTTGTTCCATGCAAAAGCAGTTTTCACATTTACTGCAGATAATTATTTACACTGAAAACAAGATTCTTCTCACTATTAAAGCAGCATTTATCAAAGCTGAGAGTGGGCTCAGACACTGGTTTCCAGAGAATACAGACTATAGGAAGATAAGCATTTCTGAGAAAAAAAAAAACACGCTATTACTCATCTTAACTTCAAGAACCTCTTAGATATTAAATACCTTAGCTGAGTGGAGGTTTGAACTAGTCCTTCATCTTGTGTTGAAAAACATTCCTCAGTCTGCATACTGAACTGTGCCATCCTTTATATCAAGGGATGTCACTCGGATACTTGAAATGTTGTTGTCATTGCTGTTTTAAGATAGTAGTTGCCTTCTGTCTATTTCTCATATTTCACTCGTCTGGCATTTATAGGGATGGTGTAGTTATTCTAAGACATTTAAATGAATTTAAATGTTGAAATTGAATCTGTAAGTGAACCTACAGAAAAGGAGGCTGAATTTGTTTATCATTTAACATGCATTGGGTTAACCATGGAAAATGGAATATTTTCCTTTCAGATATTTGGGGCCCCATCTTTTGATGATAAAATCCTAGAAGTTGTGGCCGTATTTGGCAGCATGCAGATGGCAGTTTCAAGAGTTATCAAACTGCAGCACCACCGGATAGCTCAGGTTTGTTTCTTGCCTGAAAGGACATAATATAGTTGTAATCAGTGTGGGATGCTGAAGTGTGGGGGTACTCTAGATGACCACTGCCCCACACATTAATAAAGCACTGACAGTGTTTTAATTTTAGTGGATAACAAATTGTCTTAAATGATGGATGAAGTATGAAAGTATTACACCCTTGAGTCCAATCTGGAGAGATGCCACAGCTCCTAGTAATCAACATATTTCAGGTGGCCTGTCAGCTTGATTAATATTTATGGCTCTGTAAAATAACGTGTTTGTTCTTTTCCAGTGTCGGTCAGTAAAGATCACCATACTTGGTGATGAAGGTGTCCCAGTGCAAGTCGATGGAGAGGCATGGATCCAGCCCCCAGGAGTTATTAAAATTGTACATAAAAACAGAGCTCAGATGCTAACACGAGACAGAGTATGTGACAGAAAGTGTGTTATGATTTACCTTTGCTAACATTATTTTCCGTAGTAATTTGATTTAGTTATAACAGGAAAAAACAGTGCTTAAAAGAATGTTTTGTAACTATTTGTATAACTTATATAATTACTTGTCGTTGTATCACTTCCATAATAAGCTAGATAGAGAATTGTTCTTTTTTTTTATGAGTGACACAGCTCTTTGTTGGCCTTTATCAGTTATGTTAGTGCAATTCCTGTGTTCTTATTAATACATACTAAGCAGAATGGTCACAATTTCATATATTTTCATTTTGAGGCACTAGGTATATGGATAATCACATACTGGAAGTTCAGCAAATTGCAGAAATAGCAGGGTTCTATAATGTCTGTTTTTCAGATTTCTCTCCTGTCTCTCTGTCCTGCTAACCCTACATCCCATATGACAGTTCAGAAAGAAGGGACACAAGCAGAATCTAGTCACAAAACCACTGAAGTTCATACTTATTTAGGATTACCATGCTAAAGGCTTAACTGCCCCTCAGTTCTCTGTCCTCTACCTGAATCTTGAATTTAGTGTGGAATTAATAACATTGGAACTGTATTCCAATTATTATTAAAATTATTAGAATGTACTATTAAAATGTTAACTTTTTTCTTTAGGTTTGAACCTTGCTTTTCTTTCAGATCTGATCTTACTGTCCTCACAAAATGTATTTGTATAATTACAGCCTTTGCATTCTTACAACTTTTGAAGACACTTGTTTAGGGTATGAGAGGGGGAGAGGAAGAGAGAGAAGTGACACTTTCAGAAGTGACTTATTCTCTGTACTAAGTTTAAAAAAGAAAAGTAATTTAAGGATTTAGAGAGCTTATATTATTTATATAAAATTATGTGCAATTCCACGTGCTTTTACATCTGTAAACAAAAGTGCTGCAAATGCTGTGAACTGAATGTGTAATTCATTTTGTTCAGGCCTTTGAAAACACCCTGAAGTCTTGGGAAGACAAACAGAAGTACGATTCCTGCAAATCTGTCATTCGATCTCCCTTATACCCTCAACAGGCTGTTGAGTTGGCTACAGAAGAAGAAGTCACACAGGTCCAGCTGTGCTCACAAGCTGCAGAAGAACTTATTACAAGGTACAATAGAATAAGAAAACTCAATTTGGCAACCAAGATTGAATCATTCATGCAAGTGCATGTGTAGACTTAGTAGTGTGTATTTTATTGTTGTTTTTTTTATTTTTTGAGCCTCAACTTGTTTGTGTTTGTAATTGGTCAGAATTATCAGTCTTGAGAAAACTGACTTTTTGAAGGAGTAATAGACACAGAAACCTGGAAGGCTTCTTTACGGAGAGACTTTTGATTGAAGCATCTCATGTTAATCAAAAGCAAAAAATGTATTTATTTGGAAAAAGAAAACCCTGAAAATCTACATTAGAAGTTAATAGTGCAGATGCATCCATCTCATCTAGTAATGCCATGTTATCTAGATAATCAATTAACTGATATTTATAGAACTTTATACATCAGATATGTTTTTTTGATGCACATTTTAAAGAGGAGCCTTTCTCCTGGAATATTTCTCCATTGGTTATAGAGGAAATCTTGTCTATAACAAGTATAGGCATCTATATTCCTGTCCTGATATTTCATACTGTGGACAGATCAATCTCAGGTGTTTGACTCTTCCCGTTTTTTTTTTTTTAATGACATATTTTGCTGTTCCAGTAGCTTCTGACCAGCCAAATCTTTCAACGTAGTCACCATGATTAGCTCTGCATTTTCACATGGTAATAGCATGTAATGGAATACTGGTGGGTATTCTTTAAGAAGAATATTTAATGCTTTTTAAGATACCTTCAAATAAATTAAATGATGGTTTGCCTTTGCACTTCATTTGAGTTAAGAGCCCCACATTTTTTGGTACAATTTTTGCTGTCATAGAAGAATAAATCTCCAGTCTTATGGATGTCATTTATATGAGATGCTGAGTTGCTTCAAGTGATACTTGTGATTGAACTTCTGTTATAGAGAACTGTATTTCTTAAGTTTTTCATGACTTTTGTATATTTTTTCCCATGACAATATTGCATACTGTTAAAAATTGCCTTTAAGGGAGGTAAGAAATATTTTTCTCTTTTTCCTGTTTTTGTTTTTTTTTTTTTTTAGAATCTGTGAAGCAGCAAAAATACATGGCCTCTTGGAGCAGGAGCTTGCTCATGCTGTTAATGCATGTTCACATGCATTAAATAAAGCCAACCCAAGATTTCCTGAGGTAAAGGAAGAACAGAAGTTTACATTAAGGTTTCATTATGCTTAAGTGAATGCATTACAAGTAAATATATGTGTGAAGTTGTGACATAGGATCAGTTTGTACTCCCAGTTCACATATTGCAACATGTTGGGTGATAGTTAATGACGTTTTATAAACAAGGCTCATAAATATACTCACCAGACTCAAGTTTAAAATGAAATTGCTTAACAGATGAATAGATGTTGTATCCTCTTGTTTTTGTCTCTCCTTCTAAGATGAAAGCGAACGGAGATACACAGATCACTCCTAAAGTATTGCCTCTCCTTTTTATTTCCATAGAAACTACAACAGATACAAACAGATACAATAACACTGTTTGATAGAGCAAATTCTCAGCTACAAAACGCTGTTCTTTATCATAGTTACTACCAGTAGCTATGCATGCCGTGCTCATAACAGTCTGCACCAGCAGAGGTGACCCACTGTTGCTGCTGCCACTCTTGAAACACGTCACCCACCGCCTCACTGTGCTCACATCCTCTGTTAGGTCTTCACAAACATTCAGCAAGTGTCAGTGAATGTTGATGGGTGCCTTTTTCTCTGCTTGGAGAAATTCCATGTCACACCTTCGTTTCATGTCAGACACCATTCTGTCAGACTGCCCCTCTGCTGCCATCTGTCAGACGGCAAAAACATGTAATGGGATACTGGCAGGAAGGTTCAACCTCTACTACTGTGCCACTGACATCCACCTCTGATTTTAGGGCTGATATAATGGAACAGGAAGCATGGCATTTGGAGCAGCCTTTGTACTTCCAGTTGTCAAGGTGCTGGATTGTGTAGCAGCAGGAAATCTCAGCTCTGTGCATGAGTAGGGGAACACCCCATAGCTGATCAATTTGGTAGAAATCACATTCAGAGATTCTGAAGTTTCTTCATGTGAATGTGAATTGGAAAAATCCACCTACAAAAGAGGGCAAAGAGTTCCCTCCTGACCTATATGGTATCTTAGAAAGCAGATGATACAGTTTCTGCATTCATCATTATCCCACTCTGCTGATCCCACTCATCGTTATCCCACCCTTTTGTGAGTGCTGGATGTTGGAAAGGCACTTTGATGACTGAATATGTGGAACATCTGTTGTGGTGGGGAAATACCCAAAGGGAAAGTTGGATTGGAGGCATAAAGAAAATATGTCTGTTGTCTTTTGGAAGCAGTGAAGAATTCAGTCCATCTGTAGAGGAGATACACAGTTAAGGTATTCATCCTGAAGTTGTGCAACAGTGCATATTAGATCAAGCAAGGTGATGTGCTAATATAGTTCTAAGCAGGAGTAAACCAGACTCATATCAGCAAAGACCAAAAAAAGTATGCAAAGTAAGCTGACATCTACTTACAGGCAATCGTTTAGATCTGTCTCCAGACACAATTAGAGGCATGATAAAGGCTCAACGAATTATATTACTACTTAGAGGTCAGTTCTTGTGGATATGTTCATAGAAATTTTCATGCTTAATTGTTATTCAAATGTTATGCACAGAATGCCAAGAGAGCTCCATTGTGAGTCTCCTTCACAATGGGCAGTGTTGTTTTCAGGGGTTGGACCCAAAGATGAATAATTAGGTAGAGTCTTTCTACATAGTTTTAACTAACCTAAGCTTATTTATGGTAACTATGTTAGCTAACCTTTGGTTCTTAAAATATGGCTAGCAGCTAACTTATTCTAAGGATAAGGTGAGTGATTCAGATCAACAGTCCATTACATGAGAACCACAACTTTTCTACTGGCCTTTGCCATCCATGAAAATAATAAATTCATCTCACAGGGCGTGCTCACTGCCTCTTTGAGATTGTATAAGGTCATATTAAATAAAGTCGAGGAAAGACAGTAAATAGATAATACATTTTTCTTTTTTGTGATCTCAGTGCTGAAGAAGTTGTCACTGTAGTGCTATAAATTGATATATTTCTCCTAGAGGAATACATGGTGAATGCAGTAAGCACAAAGTACTTATTCTCAGTCCAACTAGCATCCCATCAAATAATTTTTATGCTTCTTATTCCCCAGAGCCTTACCAGAAACACTGCCATGGAGATAGCTGTCAACGTGAAGGCCTTACATAATGAAACTGAATCTCTGCTAGTAGGAAGAGTTCCTTTGGTAAGTTGACAAAATACATGATTTTATTCCCTCATACTTGGTGTGATTTGTTCTTTGATTTAGAATAGTAGCACAGAATTTATGATGTGCAGTAAGCAGCTCTGTAAGACCAGGTTGAAGATTTTACACTGCATTTATGCCTGGAATCAGAATGAGTTATGAATTCTTGTCCAAGGTTAGTGTGCATCTTCCATCACTCCAGATACCTAAAAGTCATTGCCTGGGCTGCCCTTTTTATTAGTCAGTGGAGAAAAATAATATCCCTGTTGAGGCTGATTCGCCCCCTGTTGCTGTAGAGGCATATCTTAGAAAAAGGTAAATCATCTTCTGGAGGTTTAACATTTCAGAAAACTTCTGGAGTTTTATTATGTGACCACCTTCAGAGTTTAAATAGAGCCTGGAATGAGAACTATTCAGACACGTATATTCAACTTCTACAGATCTAATTTGGGCAAGTAAATCTCACCTTTATTTTAATATCTAGCAGGAATTATTTTGTAACTTTTAGCTGCTAAGTGTTCAAGACATTTCTGATGGTACTTAAAGACTCTTCATCTTCTTCTTTGGCTAGTGTTTCTCTCCTTACAATGATGAAGGCTGCGTAGGAATTGTTGTACCTGGATGTATAATTAGAAAATACCTTTATCTGATATTGTGAAGAGAAAAAAAGAGGTCACGTTTTCTATGCTGGTCCAGTTTTAGAGTAACAATATACTCAATAGTAAAAGTTATATTTTCTTTGGATTCAGAAACAAATGTATTAACCTTACTGTTGAGTTTATAAGTTAAAAGGAATGTTTAAACTTGGCTCACTTAGACTATGAAAATTATAGGAGCAGGTTCAGATACCATTTTACAAGTGAAAATTGGTATAATATAAGTCTGTTCTACAGTAACCACTTAAGTTTTAAGAATGGAATGGAGTAGAATAAGTAGAACAAAATAGAACAGTTCAGTTTGATGGTTCCTACAAAGACAGTTAAGTCCAACTACCTAACCACTTTTACCAGATATGTTGCCCTTCTCTGGAAACATTCAATTAATATCCTTTTTATATTATTGGGCCCAGAACTGTACGAAGTATTCAAGGTGAGACTGCACCAGTACTGCAGTGAAAAAATCTCCCTCCTCGACTTTCTTGCTATGTTGTTTTTAAAGCATCCCAAAGGGCAGTTTGCTCTTTCGGTTGCCAGGGCACATTACTGGTTCATATTGAGCCTGCTGTCACCAACACAATTGAGTTCCTTTCTTCTGACCTTCTCTCCAGCCTGTACTCATGTCCAGCATTATGCCATTTAGGTGTAGAACCCTTCATTTTCCTTTGTTGAGTTTCATGCCATCAATGATTGCCCAATGCTCCAATCTATCTAGATCCCTCTGCAAGGTCTCTTGTCCCTCCAGAGAGTAATGATCTGAGAGTGCATCTCAGGTTATTAAAACTGTCAAAGATTGGGCTCATATGATCTATTTTATGAAGTTTTAGAAGGGAAAAATATTAATTAGTTGGTTTTGTCCAAGGAAATGTAAGTATATCTATTGGGGTTTTTTTGTTTGTTAGTTTTTTGTTTTGTTAGATTGTTAATATTAATCCCCCATTTCAAATTGAATGAGGAATCAATAGAGAAATCTTTTTAGTTTTTAAAATGGTTTGGGAAGAGGAATTAGATAAAAAGTTATAAGTTGGTAATGCAGTACTAAAACTAATGAACTCACCAGGGTAGTCTAGAAATAATGTTATTATGGAAAGTTTTCAATTGAAACATTACTTCTCATCTTGTTGAACTGTACTATGTACTGGCTCTAAAATTTAATTTAATTGATTTGTCCATCTATTAGTTCTGCTTCTCATTGTGGTCTGTGCATATGTCTTCATGGGTCAAATATATTTTTGTAATAAAAAATTGCTTGGAAGTTGTTTTCCTGAGATATCTGTTGCACTCATTTGACAGCATTTTTAGTTAGAATAGTACCCACAGTCCACAATAACAGGGCATCCTGGTAGCCTTATTGGCATTATTTTATAATTGCTGAGGCTACTTTAGACAATTAAATCACACAGTTAAATCAGAGATATATGAAATGTAGGGCATTTCTTGATCTGTCAGCTGCTGTCTTCATACACGGTTCTCCAGTCTTTCTCCTCTGGCAAACAGTCTGTAATTTTCCTCTTTTTTTTTTTTTTAATTTTATGCCTCTTCAGTTTTCCCTCATTCCTCTCTTGTGTGATCAGAGCTTCCTATAGCTGTAAATTGATGCTTTTGTTACTTACACTACTTGGTAAACTTTTTCTTTGGTCGCCATTTACCAGCTCCTAGTCTTTCAATTATGGCTTCGGAAGAGAAATGTAAATACATATACAATCTTTCACCTTCTATAAGATTAATAAATTGCACACAATGGTATTAGCTAGGTAACATCAAATAGTGAATTAGCTAGAAAAAAATTTGTGGAATATCTCAGATAGTTATGGCTGGAATACAGCTTGGAAAAATTGTAAAATGTTGTTATGATTTGTCTAGATATTTTCCAAACACACCATTTCAATTTTTACTTTTTACAAAAATATTTCCAGTCTCAAACAGAGAATGATTTTCCAATATACTGAGGGAGAAGGATGGCAATATGCTTCATTTCAACTGAGTGAAATAATCTGAGCTCACTGAAATCAAATATTTTCATATGAGAAATTTTGTTTGGCAATAAAATGAAAAAATCCTTAATTTTAAATGCCTCATTTCTAGTGTTAAATTTTATCTTATGTATAAAAGTCTTTTTCTAGATGTTATAGGAGGAGAATTTACCCTACATTTGCTGATTTGCTAGCTTTTGCCAGAAGTGTACTATATGTTTCTGTTGGTTTTATTTTTTCAGGAGAAATATTTGTAATGCATACACGTTCTTACCATCAGATGAGAGTTTTTTGTCCTCGAGCAAAATATTTTCCTTTGAAAATCAAACAATTAGATAAGTGAGTGAGAAATGCTTACTTCATTCATTTATGTAAAAATAAAAGACTGTTCAATTTGAAGAAATTGAAGGTTAAAATAAAGATGAGAGTCTGTTTATGGGCACCAAATTCTTTCCCTAAATTCTGTGAGCCTTAGAAGAGATAAAAACACTGCAGCAGAATGGAGCTGATATTTCCAATATAGCTCTACTAAATGGCAATACCTTTGTAGTCTCTATTCTGAAAAGTGATAATATGTGCTGACTACTGAAGCAAAGGAAAGAAGTTTCTGTTAGGTAAGATAAATGAATGCAGACTTCTAATTTATCACTGAACTCCTAAGAAGTCAAAATCTTTTTCCAGTGCTGGAGATCGAAGCTTCTCTTGCAAATCCCTTTTTAAAAATACATCAACCTGTATGTAATCATTAGACCTTTTCAGAAGGATGTTTTGAACTGCTTTGGGCCTGCTTTTTCTTCAGAGAGAAAAACTGATGTTCACATTGCTTTATTAATAATTCCAAGTGATTCAGGATTCATTTCCTGACCTCATAATGGTGCTTCACCAACACCAGATAACCCTGGAGCAGCTTTGATGTGGGTGAGCTGTTTGCTTTGCCCCTTCCTCACAAGTTTGACTCACGCAACAGCTGAAGAACACAGCTTTTGGATCAGGACTGTGAGGTTCTCAAAGTGTTTGTTGATAGAGTCAAATTCCTGTAGGCCAGGAAGTCCCAAGCTTTTTACACTGTCACTACTTTGTCTCCTTGGCTTTTACTGATAACTTTGGCTTTTTGTCTCCCATCTGGGGCTGCAGTCCTGTCCCTTTTCCATGTGTGATACCTTTTCCTGCCACCCTCAGCCAGCAGCAGCGTCACTCCATGTCACTGGTTAAGAAGACATAGTGCAGATAGATCTTTATCACCTCTTTAGGGATGGAGTGTCTTAGCTAAGGCACAGGATCGCTCAGAGGGTGATGACACACTGGAACAGGTTGTCCAAGCAGGTTGTGGATGCCCCATCCCTGCAGGCATTCAAGGCCAGGCTGGATGTGGCACGGGGCAGCCTGGTCTGGTGGTTGGTGACCCTGCACATAGCAGGGGGGTTGAAACTAGATGATCATTGTGGTCCTTTTCAACCCAGATTATATGATTCTATCCATTTCCTCTTATCTGACCATGAAAAAGTGATCCATCATATGAAGAATTTTGCAAATAATAACTTGGGCCTACTACCATGTACTCAATTTTTCTACAGCCCTTTTCAGACTTTTATTTCACTGTTTACTTGCATTGGTTTGTGTGTTGTAACAACATACCTAGCTTTAAATGTCATATATTAACAAAACTAAAAGTACTGTTTTTCTGGCCTACTTATAAACAGCAGTTGGAAGCTCCCCATGAAGAGCTGTTGTCTGATGCTTTGCACAGCGTGGAAATAGAGCTGAGAAAACTTGCTGAGATACCTTGGCTTTATTATGTTTTTCAGCCAAATGATGACGAGGTGAGTTTGATTAATACTTCTGTTTCTAATTAGAATTATTTTTCTATTAAGAGGAAAGAGTAAATTAGACTCCTCATAATCTAGAGATGCAGTTTCAGTAATGATGCTGTCTGCTGTAAGCAAGTTTCTAAGCATAGGGCATATTTTTATTATATATTTTTCTCCCTCCTTGAAAATGTTTTGAATGGTTATTTAGGAAATGAAATGGGTATGGAAATAAATCCTGATATAATGCTTTACAGAAGTAAAATTTGGTCTTAGTTTTTGAGATTAACTATGAATTACTGTCTCAAGTATGCTATTTAATTTAAAGGTAAAAGTTAATTAAAAGTAACTATGTCTATTCTTTCATGCAGGATCCCCCTCTGGATTATGCTAAAAGAAACAACAGGAGTACAGTGTTTCGCATAGTGCCAAAGTTTAAAAAAGAAAAAGTTCAGAAGCATAAGACCAGCCCTCAGCCTGGTATGTGTTCTGAAATTACAAGAAAAATAGTAGCATTTGAGCAATATGTAATTTTGTGTTTAAGTGGGCTATTTTCTTCCTTTTTTTTTTTTTTTTTTTTGGTAAAAATTGAAATGCTGTACTCCACCAAAGTGAAAACTCTTGACCCTGATAAAGTGAAAGGCAGCTGAACTCACTGGTGTTTTCATTAGGATGAAGATTTCCTTCAATGAGTTTAGAAAGCATTCGGTAGCATCCCAAGACTTTCAGACGAGCCAAAGAACTACTGCACAAATATTTAGATAGCAACTATTTCTGTCATGAAACAGGATCTGTGTCTTCGCTGATGGTTACAGTTGATTAACTAAAAGTAATACAAGCCATACATAAACACATCATTTCCCCGTGAAGCTTCAATTCAGGTTTTTCAGGTAAATTTCAGGATCTGTGTAATGCCTTTATCACACTGGTTTAATTAACCAGTTATTCTTAAATTTCAGATGAGTTTGAGTTCAGTAAGTTGGGCAAGTCAAACAAAAAGACATGATAGCCAATATTGATGTTCTAATTAGTAGCAGCTGAACAAACTCCACTCTCCTCTCTTCCCTCTGTTATCCATGAACTTAATTCCTTAATATTATGTCCAGGAGTTAAACAGTGATCAAATTATCCTAAAACTGTTTCTACATCTTTGTCTTTTTAATGGACAATCTGCAAAATATTGCCATTGCTGATTAGACTTCTAGATTTCAGATTAGACTTCAGATTCACTTCACTGTAAAACTAAATCAGCATTGGATGATGTTGCAAAATTGTACCAATAAGTAGCATAGCTGTTTTTTAGGATTAATGTGGGCAACTAACCTTAGAGAACAATGTTATACAGAGAGCTTATTCATGGCCTGTGTAACACAGTAGCTTAAAGAATACTTGTAGCATTAATTAGTACTAGAAAATATTAATTAAAGCTGAACTTGCTTGCTGCCATTGCTATATATGAAGTGTGGTTTATGTATTAATTTTACCTGTTGATTAGCTTTTGAAGGCTTTCTCCTCTCCCTGGATGATAACTAACAAATTAGTGGCATAAAGAAGAACAACACTAGACTTTGCGTCACTGATCCTAAGATGATTTGATGTGAATTTGTAGAGACATGAGGTTTTAAAGGCTTTACTGAAGAAACTGTAGTAAAGCTGAAAGCATGGCTGCAAAGCAAAGAACCCCAACTTTGTTTAGATACTTTCTCATGTTAACTGCTAACTTGTAACCTGCATGTAAAAAGGAAATTGTCGTTTTTTTTCTGGAAATGACACTTCTAACCTTTCCCTTTGCTAGCACGGCAATTCTACTCTGTTTTCCATTCTCTTTGGCCTAACCTTTGCTTGTAATGCATTTGAGCATGTAGAAATTAAGGGGGTTTTGCTCTTAACTTTGGTAGTTCAAAAATGGGGCACAGATGAAGTTGCTGCTTGGCTGGATCTGCTCAGTTTGGGAGAGTACAAAGAAATCTTCATCAGCCATGACATCCGAGGCTCTGAGCTTTTACATCTGGAAAGGCGAGATCTTAAGGTATTTCCTTTGTGCTACTTTTCTGCTATTGACCATTTTCTTTGACAAAACAACAACCAACTTTTCTTCTTTCCCTGCACTTTTTATATGCTTTTAGCTTGGCTTACACTGTGCAAATATGCAATGAACTAATATGCGCTGTCCTTTGGCCTGAATTTCTTAGTGCTGAGTTGTAATTTGCAACCAGAAATACCTGTGTTATGAGATTTCCTTTTTACACCTTATGTAGAATGACAGCATTATAATTTATGTCACGGGAGAAGCGTGTTGATATCTTACTGACATCAGTGTAATATAATGTTATCTTCAAGAGATCACTGTTTCCACTAATCAGGATCAGTATGGATCAGTTTCTTAAGCTGGTGTGATGATTTTGAGTATATCTCCTGCAAGGTCAGCAGCTGCAAGCAGCTGACCTGCTTCAAGTGATTTATTGTGCATAAACTGGATAAAGTAAATTAATAAATGATGGCATTGAACATACATGGCATTGGCGTTTGTTCATCAGAGTTGACTTTCACAGCAGCATTTCTCATTCCTAACCAACCTCTTCCTGCTTTTGGTTTATAGATTTAAAAAAGAACGTTTTCTTTTGTCTTTCTGATTGCCTCAGAGTTCAGCAGAGAGAAATATTACCTAGCAATCTGAGATGGTTATTTGAGCTTGCTGGTCTTTTTCAAGAGTGATTTAAGTGCATCCATTGTATGTAATAGGGGCCCTATCTTTGGGGATTCATTACATTAGTTTTTCCAGGAACTCAGTAGTAATGAGTTCTTGATAATGTGTTTTGCAACTGCTTTTAGCATGTAAGAGAGGAAATAGGATACGTATAAATGGCAAACATTTACATTTAGAGTGCAAGTCATCACTCCAGCCACAGTGCAGTAGTCTCAGATATGGGCAATACTTTCATGCAGATTAGCCATTTTTTGTAAAGTTTCTTACATAGTTTGCAGTCCTGACACTATAAGGTAGTACTTGCATTCTGTGAGAGTTGCAGTAGAATGCAGCTGCTGAAGATAGATGTGTCTGATATGATGTGTTTAGTTGTTGTATATTATTTCATCTGTTGGTTCTAGATCACATAAGCTTCTTTCTGTGGAAGTTAAATTCCTTTCTTTCAGGACTGTACAAGATAACCCCTCCATGCAGAAAACTGCATGGCAGTCCCTCCAGGCAAGCAACCGTAATGCTCCAGTGGTGGATGTTACCTTTAAAGTTTAACTGGGAAATTTAGCATCATACAATGCAAAATTTTGCTAAAGTGTTAAGGAATGTTTATAAAAATGCAATATCAAGCTTGTTGAAATGAAACGAACAGAATAGTTCAATTGGAAGGGATGTACCAAGATAATAAAGTTCAACTGCCAAAGATAATGGTTGAAGTGAACTGAACTTAAATCAGGACGTAGCGCTCATCCTGTTCATTACATCTGGATCCTGATCTCTACAATAGCTAATTAAAGGTCGTTCTGGAGTCCTGCATTTTTCTGACCAGTGACCTGGACTAGTGTCAAGGTAGAATGTGAAATGTAGAACAAGAGGTCAAGAGGTCACAAACTGCCCTGCTTAATTTTTCTCCATTTGTCTGTTGAGATGTGCAGATGAGTCTTCAGTGCTTCTGTGAGCAATACTCTACCTACAGCCTCTCCTCCAGTGCAAGGCTTGTGCTTTCTTGCCAGATTAATTGGTATAGTCATCAATTCACAGTCTCTTAATCCATGTGCAGCATTTACTGCGGTGACCTTTCAGGTCTACGACAGGAAAAATAGCTGCCCACATTAATTCAATCCCTTGGGCTCACCTTTCTATCTGTGTCAGAAGTAGAAATGAAAAGCAGTAAGGAGAAGGATTTGATGAAACTCTCTTCCTTTGCAAGCGTCACTGAAGTAGATCGATACCTTGACTGAAGAATTGGGTAGGATGTCTGTCTTTATATACCTGCATTGCTTGTGGACCTACTCCAAGTTAGCTGTATGTGTGGCAGATGGCAAATGTTCTGTGATGAACTGGATACCTCTGTCTATCTATTCCCTCCAATAGTACCCTTTCTCTAGTCTCATATTCCTGATTTTAGTTAGGGCAATCTTAGACTTTTACAATGTTTGATTTTCTTTCCATTGAGGAAGGGCTGGAAATTGTGAAATGTGCTATAGAAAATACAGCAAGAGGCTCATTGTGATTTTTTTTAGCCTTCTTTCATGATTAAATTCATTGAAAACTAGACTCTAAAATAGATGCTGTCATTCTTAGCATTGACAGCTTGTCTCTATACGTACACCTTAGCAATAATCAGAACTGCCACACGTTTAGTAGGACTAGGGTGATGTTTCCTTAGAATTCCATAGCAGTGTTGTCTTCCATGAAGACATGTCTCTTGTTAGCTTAATGAAGAGTGAAAGGCTAAGAGTATGCTGAGGACTGGGCATCTCATCTATGTCTTTTGTAGAATCATTAGGAAAAGTTCTTGCATGTCAGATTTGCTAGAACTTGTGATGTCCTTTGACACTGCTTGTGCCACTAGGGTAGGTTCTAATCTGGAAGATGTCAACAGTAAGACCTGCTAATATAAAATGCTTGATAGTTTTACACTGGTGTTATGTTCTACCAGCAAACCTGGAATAAACAGTTGTTGGATAAGTAGACAGAGGGCTAATCACTATTATGTAATGCAGATGAAAAACTCCGTCAAGCTATTGCAATAGTTTTCATCAGTTTTTTCTTCCCCAACATTTTTGTGGTTTTGTTTTTGTTTTTTTGTTTTTTTAGGATATTTTGATCTTTCCCTGCTGAATACAATAGAGCTGGTTAAAATGGGTTGGAAGAGCATATGGAGAGGTTATCCTGTAGTTTTAATGCCATAGCTAGGAAAAAAAAAACCAAAAAACAGGCTGTTTTCTTCCTCATACTCTGGTAGATATCTTTGGAGATCATTTTGGGAGTGATGCATGGAAGGCTTCTGTAGCAGACCTTTCTAGCCTGAGATAAGAGAATTTCTGCAGACTTCCCCAGGTCAGTAGTAAACTGAGATAGTTTCTAGTGTCAAGAATGCATAACTCCTAATTTCCTTCAAACCAGGCTATTACACAGACATGGAAATTCAGAGATTGGGGAGTTTTGTTTGTTTGTTTGTTTTTGTGACAAAATTTAGCATAAATTGTGGTAAATCTTTTGAGATTTGCTGGTCTCACTACATTATTGCACGTTCAACTAAGATGGAAACAAAATTAAAATCTCCCTGTAGCGTAGGCATTGTTGATGACACTTTGTGAAGGCAGGTAGAAAAAGTGGCTCAGTTCTCTGGGAATGTTGTAATATCACATCTTTTTTCTGATCCTTGAAGTCTGGCAGTGCATTGCTATGTTGCTTATCCAATAGTTCTACTCATGAGAACTGTTGTGAAAGATTTGGAAGTTCTCAAACTTACGTACATGTGGCTTTTTGCAGTTTGGAAAGTGTCCTACAGGTTTTACATTGGATAGAATTTCTGCTACAGAGCAACAGGGGAATTTCAGTAGTTTCAATACTCCTGCATACTTTTGAGTCATTGGAAAATTAAGTTTAGCATAAATAGGAAAACATTCTCCAGCACCAAATTCACAATGAAAAAGGTTAGCATCATTGTTGCATGACTTTAACAAGTTTGCCAGCTCTCTTAACTTAAAAATGAGTGCTACTTTATAGTTAACTGTTTATTTTATTTTATTTTGCTCCACAAACTGATGTGAATATGCATTAGTGGAAACAAAATATAAATGCATGCAATGTGGAAAAATCAAGTATTTTTTTCTGATAGCTTTTTGAACAGCACTTGGTTTGGGGACTCGAGCACATTGTGAACTCTTTAATGTTGACACCTCTGTGCCAATGTGCTGTAACAAATGTTGGTGTATTGAGGTTATTTACACTTTTCTTCTGAATTGACAACCAGTTTTTTTTTTTTTTTTATCTCTAACATAACAGGAGTTCAGCCTTGACTCTGAAAATTAATGTGCCTGTTTAATCTGTGCTTTTACCCCCAAATAATTAATTCATGCCAACCTTTTCTTGCTTTGATGAAATGCAAATGCAAAGTGAATTGCATACTTTTAAATAATGTGCACTGCAGGTTTTCTGAGGTTTCTGTGACTGCAGAAGGGTAGATGCAGCCTTTATGTAAGCTTTTCAAAGCATGTTCTATATAGTTTCATTTTTTATTCCTATGAAAACAATTATTTCAAGCCATTAATTCAACTCAATTCCTTTTTATGTCTTCATAATGGAAAAGTCTCCTACTAAAATGAAAGGATTTTTATTTCAGAAGGATAGATAGAGAAATTTGTTCAGACTTTTCTTTAATCACAATCTGTTTATGTAAGGTTTATTCTACAAATTACTATACTGTTTGAATCCACCACTTGCTCAGCATGACCAACATAAGGATTTTAAAGAGTTTTTCAAAGCTGGGTTTGACAAACAACAGAAGCAGGTTTCCACCAACATCAGATGAAAATTCATTAGTGCAGTTGGGGATCATTAACACAGCTGGGCATCCCGTTCTGTTTCTCTCACTACTGTATCAATTAAAATAGGAAAAGAATGTTCTTTAAGCTGTTACTAATGCTGGAAGAGTTTTACTGCAAATTTCTTGCCTGTTGTCACTTATGCAGAGATGGGTCCAAGAAACTGATATTAGAAGTACTTCAGCTGATATGTTTGCATGAGTGATGCCTAAAAGAGATCTGCATTTGTGTTTCTACCATTTCCTTTAGGATGTGACAGTCATGTCTATGAGAAATTTTTTTTCCAGCTCTCTAATCATGAAGGCAGTTCATGTTAGGAGGCTGAACCATTTTAGAATGAAAAACAAATGCTTACCTTTTCTATTGCTCTCTGAAGGGAAGTTGTCCTACATGCCATTACATCCACTTTCACTTGAGAAACTAGTAATGTGTGTGCTATTTGCTTAAGACAGACATCATAGGGCCACAGATCAAGTAACATAGCTGGACAGAAGCTCTAATCCATCTCATCCTACCAAGCATTTGATTACTGCATTAGAGAGGAGGGGGAGATTGTTCGTTTTTCTAGAAATTACAAAGAGATTTGTACTTAGAAGTCAAGCAAAAGTTGTTTTTGAAAGATTGTAATACTTTTGGTTATATGGTTATTGCAGGTAAGTAATTTTCAAACAGAGATACACTGTATGCTGTAATCATTTTTTTAGGTGACATTTGCTAGAGCCATAGATTATTTTCAAGTTAATGTTGATTGCAGTTAGCACATTTCTAGTCATCTTTTGCACAGTTAGATCATAGTCATGGCCTTTAAAAAAAAGAAAAAAAGTAAGTAACCTTTCTTCTTTTTGTCTCCTTTTTTTCTTGATTTCTGTAGGACCTGGGGATAACGAAAGTGGGTCATATGAAGCGAATTCTCCAGGGAATTAAGGAGCTCAGCAAGAACACCCCTTTGTCTGAAGTGTAATTGTGGTGGTGCTCTCAGAAGAGAGAGGGAACGTTGCTGGAAAAGCAAAGCTATTACAGGCACTTGGCTGTCTTTGTAGTTTACTGTATGGAAGAATAAGCGCTAGCGTGTTCGTACAGGCTAACATTGCCCAATACTTGTGTGGCGAAGAGCTTGTTGCAAGAGCATAAAAGAATTTGTGCCAAAAAAAAAAACCAAACAACCAAAAAAGGAAATGGTTATACGTTCTGTGAAGGAGTTTTCTTGGTGTTCACACTTGGCCAGTTCAGATAAGCACATTTTGGTAAATCAGTTGACGGTGAACTGCACTGACTGGAAAATCTATCAAGAAATGATCGCTTTGCTTACGTGCAGCTCAGTATGCCTCTCTCTTACAACGCAGCAAGATGCCGCCGTACAGCACGAGGTTGTCTGGTTGCCCTTCCTGGGCACAGATCCCCTACAACTTCCTGTGCAGGAGCCTGAGAGGTGGCCGCTTCCGAGGTTCCACACGCGGGTCTGGCAATGCCTCAGGTACCAGGCGCTCACGGGCCACGCAGGACGGGGAAAGATACCTTCTTGTACTCTGAATGCCAACTATAATGCATGGTGTGCCTGCCTGACTTGTCTGTCGTTCCGTTGCATGACACATCTGATACTTTAAACACTTGAACAACTTTTATATCGGTTTGAATGAGAATTAATTTATTACTACTTGAGTGTCCTTTTTCGGTTCCAGGCACTTTTCTATTCTTCAGTGTTGTGTTATTCCTAAATGAGTTCTATGGCAAAGGATGTGTGGGTGTGGAAACTTAAGCATTGGTGCCATATTCAGCAAGTTGTATGCATTATATATGATTGGGACGTTGTACAGTTAGATTTTTAAATATACCATGTACAGAAGGTGTATCAGGTAACTAACTTATGAGTATTTTTCAAAGACCAGTACCTCACAAAAATATCAGTTGGCTTCCTGCATGGAAAATGATAAGGAATTTTCTCATGGTGCATTAAATGTAGTTATCCAGTTATCTTAAACATCCGTAGCATATCGGAGCTTTTAGGAACTAATGGTTTTATTTATTCTGTTGTGCAAAAAGCAGGTCGAAAGATTAACAAAAATTTTTTACAGGAAAATTCGATTTATTTATCACACATAAGGAAAGTGTTAAAATGTAGCAGCTGATTTGATTTTTGTGGGGTCAGCTTATACTCATTACTAATTTACTATTAATTTAAAAAATTGTATGTATGCATTTCTTTACAGAGGCATCAATTTGTTTGTCAGCACTCCTACATCAGTAGATCATAAAAAAATTAAGAGATTCTGAAGTTTTACACTATGCATGCAAATATGATTCACATGCAAGCTAGTAATCTATGAGTGTTATAAAGTTAAAAATGAAAGCCATCTTTGTTTAGTAATTGCATTAGACTAGAGCTTATAAGGCTATTTACAACTTACTTAAACAAAACATAGCTTCATAATTGAATTTCCTGGTTAATTTCTCACAAGGTATTAATCTAGTAGAAAAATAACATACATAATATTAGGGTTTAAGACACACAGAACCTAGTTCAGTGGCTGAGATGAGATGAGATGATACTGTCACATGCCAGAGAGTTTGCACAGAACTGCTTATCTTGCTTTTCTGATCAGTGCAGCATTCCCACCCCAGGAACTCTTGATTGATGCTTTATTGAATATCTTTGTCAATTCTTACAAGTTAACAACTCTGTTAATATCTTTTTCTGTTTTCCTAGTAGACAGCAGAGTAAGGTTTCGTTTGTTTTGCCGAAAGCTTTTCCTTACTTAAAGGGTACAACGCCAAGTACTACAGCCAGGTTTCATCCTCCATTTCTCAGGAGGATGGTGAGCTTCATCCCTTCGGAAGTCAGATGTGCTCCCCTCATCATTCTGTTGCAAGAAACGTTAAAAAGGAGGAAGGCAAGCTTTGTTTATATCCATTTATAATACCGCACGTTCTTGCTGCTGAAGGTTAAATGTCACCACTCTGGGAGCTTTGTGGGCATAATTGATTGTTCTGGTCAACAAACAAAAGTAAAAGGCAATGCTCCATTAGTTTTTCAGTTCAGAAAAAAAGGCCATTCACCAAGTGACATTATTTTCATGCTGTTGTATTAAAAGCATATGCAAACAATGGAAAGGTTTTTTCTTTCGTGTACTTGACGTTGACCCCTTTAGTGATGACCAAATGTCATCTGTCAAGTCTTCACAAGTTATACGTCCTTTTCTCTTTGTTTCCTTGTAAGCTAAGCTGTATTTTAATGCGTGGTGTTATTCTAATGTGTCAGTGCTGTGATTGATGACGTAGTTAGTCCTCCTGGTCAAGTTGAGGACATAATTCATGACATTATTTTCTTTGCTTTCCTGATTGTAGGATTCACTCTCACCATAGCTTTCAGTCTTGTACTGCAGTAAGATGGGCTCTGGAACAGGATTGAGTTAAGGCCATGTGATGACAGCTATAAAGGCCTACACTGAGTATAAAAAAAAAAGGGAGATGCTTTTAGGCAGGGAGTGTTGTTTTGGAATGCAGCTTTCTTATGATACTCTTCAAATTACCTCAGTATAGGACAACTTGTCTTTACGAAGTTCCATTATTTTAAATGATCACCAAAGAATTCAATTTTGATTGTCCTAAAGCAGAGGGTTTTTTTAAAAAGTGCAAGTAGAAAAGGTATTTTAGGCAACAGTTATGCTTTATTTAATAGGCATCCAAGAGAGCACGTTTCATGGAACTCTATGCCTTAGAATAGTTTTGAATATCAGTTCCAAATGCGTTGGACAGGGAGGCTCAAAGTATTTTACAGGATTTCTCTGCTGAGGTCAGGTTTTGTATCTGTGTTATAAGATGTGGCTTTTATCAAGATTGATTTTCGAATACAATGTTACTATCTCATGATTATTGTAGATTTCCAAGTATTGATTTTTTCCATACTGCTCGCAAAATCCCAACTCCCAGAGCTGAAGACACACACAGTTTCATTTTTAACATAGAGAATTCTTTATAATTTATAATCTTGATGCTTAAAGCACTTCAAAGCATACTTTCTAACATTTCATAGAATCATCATAGAATCACAGAATGGCCTCGGTTGAAAAGGACCATAAAGATGTGGCTCTGGGCAGCATGGTCTAGAGGTTGGAAACCCTGCCTGTGGGAGGGGGCTTGAAACTAGATGATCTTTGAGGGCCTTTTCAACCCAGGCCATTCTATGATTCTGTGATCATCTGGTTTCAACCCCCTGCTATGTGCAGGGTCACCAACCACCAGACCAGGCTGCCCAGAGCCACATCCAGCCTGGCCTTGAATGCCTCCAGGGATGGGGCATCCACAACCTCCTTGGGCAACCTGTTCCAGTGCGTCACCATCCTCTGTGTGAAAAACTTCCTCCTAATATCTAACCTAAACCTCTCCTGTCTCAGTTTAAAACCATTCCCCCTTGTCATATCACTATCGACCCTCATAAACTGTCGTTCCCCCTCCTGTTAATATGCTCCATTCAAGTACTGGAAGGCCACAGTGAGGTCTCCTCAAAGGCTTTCAACACAAAGAAGGTAAGCAACTTCTTTTGAAGTAGTTAATTTTCTGGAAAACTAGTTATCCCAGTGGCTTTTGTGGAGGCTAATTCAACATGCTAGATTCATTAAGACAAAAATCACTATACAGTATTTACTGGATTTATTTTTTTCCATAGTCTAACACAACTACACTGTCAGTGTACCTTAAAATCTATGAAAGCAATGCCAAGCAGTCAGCATTTTTTTGAAGTGGATGGTATTCATAGAATCATAGAGTGGCCTGGGCTAAAAAGGGGCACAATGATCATTTAGTTTCATGTAGATAAATGTGCTCCACTTCAAAAAGAAGAGGAGAAGCAGGTTGTAAAATGGCAGCGCATTGCTCAGCGTGCTTTTGTTTTTCATCATTTTCCTATAGATTTTTCCAGCTGATTGCATTCAGGTGTCGTAGCAGCTTCTTATTTGGGTGATGCAAATATTGCCTTTGTAATACATAATGCCTTCTTTTTAGAAACTGGATCACATCAGCCAAATGTGTGTTTTTAGATCTTGGTGTTTATTTTTTTTTTTTACTTTAAAGAAAAGCTTGTGCAATTTTTTTTTTTTTATATGATGGCAATTGAAAATTTTATTCATGATATATTTTTATGTATTTCCCCTTAAACAACGGTTTTTCTCCCAAACACCAATTTTCTGTCAAAGAAAAATATATTACACTTATGGAAGAACAGTAAAATGGAAAGCAGGTGTTCAAAAACCCTCCAAAACTATTCCTAAGTATTCCTTGCTTCAGGACTGGAGTAAATACCTTTGGGTCCTCTAAATAACAAATAGAAAACATCCTTCTCTCTCCATCCCTGCCCAAAGAAATTCAGACTGAAATGTTGTATAATTGTAATTTAGGCAAGAGGAATTGATTTTTTTTATAATGGCATATTTCGTATTTTCCTGTGTTCTTTGTATAGAAATACAAAACCTGCCAGTTTTTACTCTTTAATTGAACTCAGTGATACTAATTCACTTAATGAAAAATTCATAATGCCTTGATAATGCACAGATCTTATTATGGGGTAAAATAATCCATGTTTCTTATTGCAGCTAGTTTTCTTTTGTAGAAGACTGGCAGAAAACCTTTCCACATTTAATATAAAAACAATATATAAAACAAATAGCAGAGGATACAGCAATATTGCTTTTAAAATAAATTTAAAACTACATATTATGCATAGATAATTCCACAGTGGATATGTAAGAAAAAACCTCCAGACCCCAGTGATTCCTTTTTGCTTGATGCTTGCTATTAATGATTGCATTGCTAATGTTTAGTGCTCTTATTCCTTTGCTCTCCCCATGCCCCTGAGTATTAATTTATTGAATACAAGTTTGACAGTTCTGGTAACTAATAATTGGCAGTGTAAAGTCTATTTGTGAAAGTTAATGTTACAAGCAATGTATGTTGTTGAGGATAACAGTGCTGAAGGAATATATTCTGCTTACAGCTAGGAGATCATCTGGTCACTTGTGTAAGTGAGAGCCACAGCAAACTGTATGAAGTTTTTCTTTTATTTTTTCACCCCAGTGTGCTTCTCAACTGCACTGCCCTGAGTGTCACTTTCGTGCCCTGGGCTCTCCCATTTTTTGGTTGTTTTCTTAGATTCTGTGTTTTGTGGTATGATTTTTACATCATCAATTTTGATGCTGCTTATGCTCACTACTAAGATCTAATGTTTGCAGGAACTGTACATGACTGTATGTTTGTCTTAAGCAAAAAGGTTTTGATCACTTGAGGAAACCGAGGAATTTGGACAGGACTTAAACTCTTCCTGCTGCCTCTTCATCATAGCGTCAGAGGATTGATAGAGCATCACGTGGTAATTATCAGCTGAAAAACTTTACTGGTTGCATAAAGTCCTCTATTTATATTGAGAACATAGTGTGCAACTCAATCTTTTTTACAAAAGGAGAAAAAAAAAAATCTAGTTCTTTTCTACTACTGCTGCATTAGGTTAAAAAGCTCTGTTAATGGGTAGCTTATGTACTTGAAATGCTCATTTCTGCCATACAGAAACCCAGACTGCTCTCACAAAGCGTATTCCTTTTGGAAGCCATCTGGAGAGTTCCAGGAGGCCATTCTTGCAGCCATCTGGAGATAATACCAACGTTTATTGTGACTTTCCTAGGCTTAATGTGTTTGCCCTCAAATTTATAAGCAAAGGGAATGTTTTTGAAAGTTGCATTTTTGAAGTCTTTGGAACTAAACTTAAAATTCTATCATAGAATCGTGGTCTCAGAATTATTTGAGATGGAGGGGACCTTTCAAAATCGTTTAGCCCAACTCTCCTGCAGTGAACAGGAACATATCATCCTTTATTATCACTAATAATAATAATAATAATAAAATATTAGCACTGTTGGCAAACCAGCAAAATTCTGGCAGCTATAGACCTGAGAGTATTCTTGGACAAATTGCAATCAATTCAGCTGCAGTGGTTAGAGAGCTTTCACCTTCAGAGCAATCAGCAGAAAATGTGTATATTTATGTGGTTTAATGATAAAAATCTGTTGCAAATAATCAAAAAATTTCTCTCCCAGTTGACACCACATTTTTTATATAAACACCTGGATCAGATTTTGAGTCCATGGGGCCTAAAATCCTCCAGGTTACACACTTGCAGTCTCCACTGAAAGCTGCATTTGAAAAGATAATGAAAGGAAAAGCAGTATGATACAAAGTTCTAAGCCATTTGATTTTTTTTTTTAATAAATACAAACCTCCAGAGTGCCCCAAATGCTACTGTGAACATTTAAAGGGAATTAACGCAGGGAGTCCTACCTTGAAACAACTAATTAGATTGGAAAACTGTTTAGTTATTAATTAATAACCTGATGGTGACATTAAAATGATTGTTCTTAGAATCATAGAATGATAGAATGGGTTGAAAAGGACCACAGTGACCATCTAGTTTCAACCCCCCTGCTATGTGCAGGGTCGCCAACCACCAGACCAGGCTGCCCAGAGCCACATCCAGCCTGGCCTTGAATGCCTTCAGTGATGGGGCATCCACAACCTCTCCAGGCAACCTGTTCCAGTGCATCACCACCCTCTGTGTGAAAAACTTTCTCCTAGTATTGAACCTAAACCTCTCCTGTCTCAGTTTAAAACCATTCCCCCTTGTCCTATCACTATCCACCCTAGTAAACGGCCGTTCCCCCTCCTGTTCATACGCTCCCCTCAAGTACCGGAAGGCCACAATGAGGTCTCCCTGGAGCCTTCTCTTCTCCAAGCTAAACAAGCCCAGTTCCCTCAATCTTTCCTCATAGGAGAGGTGCTCCAGCCCTCTAAACATCTTAGTGGCCCTCCTCTGGACCTTTTCCAAGAGCTCCACATCCTTCCTGTACTGGGGCCCCCAGGCCTGGATGCAGTACTGCAGATGGGGCCTCACAAGAGCTGAGTAGAGGGGGACAATCACCTCCCTCTCCCTGCTGGCCACTGTTATCGTAACTCTCTGCATTAGCTGAAGTAAACTTTGTGTAGGACTGTGTCTCATTGTGGCTGTGCTCAACTATGTGATGTGAAGGTTGAGAAAAGCTGTTAGAAACTGCTAGGTCTTGTTTTTCCTGAGAGGAAGAATATGTGTGCTGACAGTAAAGACAAGTGCGAGTCTTAGCACAGTTTTTAGGAATATCAGAGCTTCTTCTTTTGGACAGTTTCTGAGTGATTACAGTGAGCACATAGTTTTGAAGATGCTCACCTGGAAGGTTTCCAGTGGCCAAGATGCCATCTCTATGTCTTGAAATAGACGTTTGAACTGTACTGCTTAGTCAGATTTGATTGGATTTTGTACAGGCATCTGTCACTTGTGGACCTACTTCCTCACTTGGATTTCTGCCTGTCTAAAATGTGTACTTAGAAAAACACCATCATCTGTGTAGGACAAAATTACCATCTTTCTGTCAAGTAGTAAAAAGGACAGTTTCTGAACTTGTCTTGAAATATTTCCCTCCATCTTCTTCAATATTCCCACCTCTGTTCTATCCTGTCCTTTGAATCCTAAAAGAGGGGCTTCCCTAGAGCTGCCAAACACATATCCAGTAATTTAGTTTGCTGATGTTTGTTAGTCAGTAGGGCCTTTTTCTCATCATAGGGCAGGATTCACAGCAGATTAGATGTGCCACAAATGTTGTTTGTACATAAAGAGTACAAACCATTGGGGACTTCTGGGAGGAGAAGAGAGCCTGATCTTTGCAGCAGAGATTTGGTGTTTTTTCACCGCTGTTCTCACACCCAAGTAATTTAATGACATCTAATACTAGCAGCTGCTGAATATCTATGGCACACCCTTTATACCTCCCAGAAAATCTCCTGATTTGTAACTTAGATACATATCAACTATCTTAATAAACAAATAATGTCTTAAACACCAGTAAAATCCAGAAGCTAAGTCAGCACTTAGTTATATCTCTCCACTGATGGTTATTGTTTCAGAATACATCCATTATTATTCTTTGCTCCGTAAAGGTAGAAAGTTTCCCTAGTATGTACAGAGAAGGTATCTTTAAATGAGGAGTGCTACTGAATTGCATGAATTTGTTTGCAGTGTGTGTTCTGGCATGTAGAAAAAGTACCTGATTTCTTCTAAGTGTATTACAGAGATGCTCTTTTTAGCCAGGCTCGTCTCTTTAGTGAGGATTCAG